ATTATTATTTATTAGATAAAATAGTGCTAAAAATTATGCAAAATAGAGTGCATACACTAGATTACCTTACATTAGAATACAATGCATATAGCATAAGTGGGCTGTATAGCAAGGTTGGTTGGGGTCGGGAGCTGGGGATAATTTTATTGCTTAAATATAACCATATCATCATCCTACATTAGAATCCACTCAGTCTAACATCAATTTCTGGTGCAAAAATTGTCATTTCTGAGTTTTACCCCCCTTGACAACAAATTCTTGGGGGTACTATGACAAATGCTTATAACTAAAGAAGTATTTATTTGATCATCTTCATTTTTGGCATTGGTAATGAACAGGTATGTAAAAGTAAAATTTGAAAAATTCATACAAATCGGGTGATTAATCCATTCTAAAGATAATAATTCAGTTATTTTCAAGGGTCAATTTCAACATTTTCTGAATGTCGCCATGAAGTAAAAATGACATTATGACCCAATGACATATTTATTGAATGTTTTTAGGCTTTAGAAAATAATTTGACTATATAAGCTAAAATAATAACATGAGAATTGTATGATATTGATAATTCTTCATCGCCATCCAGGCGCAAATAAACTCCCCCCTCCCCCATTTTCGAATATAAAGGTCTATACCTGAAACTTCCTCAAATAGCTATATTTCAGAAACTATTACAGCCTACATTCCAAAATTTCTCATGGTGATTATACACATCATACTCTGCATAATAGACATATAATTGAGATTTATCCATTCTACATCTAATAATAAAGGTATTTTCAAGGTTCAATTTCAGCATTTTCGGAGTGTCGCCATGAAGTAAAAATTGCATGACCCAATGACATATTTATTAAATGTTTTTAGGTTTTAGAAAATAATTTGACTATATACGCTAAGATATGACATAAGAATTGTACAATATTGATAATTCTTCATCGCCATCCAGGGATAAATCCCCCCCCCCCCCATTTGCCAAAAGAAAGGTTTTTACCTGAAACTTTCTCAAATAGCTATATTTCAGAAACTATTACAGCCTCCATTCCAAAATTTCTCATGTTGATTATAGACATCAAAATCTGCATATTATACATATAATTGAAGTCTTAACACTTTTTGAGGGTGTAGCTAAGAATAATAGTATAATTAGACATCTTAGAAATCAAAATATATGTTTTAGAAGGTTGTCACAACACTACAAGAGAGATATTTTGGATTGTCATCATTTTTGAGAATATTACAAAAACATATTTATATTATGCAATAATCACCTATTTTCATTTGACATAATTGAAATATATTATCCATCTAGTTTAAATGATTTCAGTATATGCATTTAATCCTGAGATGCACTTAGGTTTGATATTCATGAAGTAATCGTTTCTTTTTTGTGTGTAATTAAGTTTCTAAGCATAAAACTATAAGCATTAACTCTGTATGCTTTAGGATATACATAATCAATACTGGTGACTAAACATTCAATTAACAACATTCAGTGAATATGCTTGACAACATTCAATAACAATAATGATTAATATGTTCGACCAATATGTTTTTGAATAACTTCACCAATACATTTTGCTTGAGTATTCAATTCAACATTTGCTTCAAGCAGTTGAACATTGTTAGTTATCAACATCACCTGAAAAGATTTTATCTATGAAATTGTTGACTTCATTATCTGTCATATCATCATCAATATCGTCATCTGATTCTTTGTTATAAATGTCTACCAACTCGTGTGGAAGAATGGCATATGGATTTTCAAGTTCGCCATTTTCTAGGATCCATCCATTTTCTGCTGGAACAAGGGATGACCTGCATGGAGGAAGGAGACTGATGTCTATCCCATCATAGTTGTTGATAGAGGCTTGAGGTTGAAATCTGTTCGGAAAATTTATATATCGTACATGATTGATGTCTGTTTTTTCTTTTCCCCGTACATGATGCACACAAATCTTTCGAGTTCTTGAAGATGCCTTGGTCAAGAACTGTAGATTTTCCAAGTTCTTGAAAGATTGCATGCATGACATCCCTCTTGATCAGCTGTTTCAGAGGGTTTATTTTTCCCTTTCTCATGAAGGCACTGGTGGTATCACACCCTGTAAAACAGTGGATGCCGATCAGGGTGGCTGTGATTGGATCACCCAAACCTGCTGCAACTGTCTTCACATCAATGAGGCGCCTCTTGTTTGAAACTCCAGTGTCAAACAGTACTTTGAGAAGTAGGTGTTAGATGTAATGTAGCAGGAGTATGGGTACATCGGTGTCTGGAGATCTGACAAGTATGGTCTTGGCCTCAGCCCCCACCTGCCTTGATGCATATAAAGCATGGAGAATGATTTTTGTGTCAGCTTCATCATGGTTGCACCATAGGTCTAGGACTTCCTCACTAACAACATGTGACCCATCACTTGTGAGTAAGAAGAGTCAAGGTGATCCAATCACAGCCACCCTGATCGGTATCCACTGTTTTACAGGGTGTGATACCACCAGTGCCTTCATGAGAAAGGGAAAAATAAACCCTCTGAAATAGCTGATCAAGAGGGAGGACATGCATGCAATCTTTCAAGAACTTGGAAAATCTATAGTTCTTGACCAAGGCATCTTCAAGAACTCGAGAGATTTGGGTGCATCATGTATGGGGAAAAGAAAAAAACAGACATCAATCATGTACGATACATAAATTTTGCAAACAGATTTCAACCTCAAGCCTCTATCAACAACTATGATGCGATAGACATCAGTCTCCTTCCTCCATCCATGTCATCCCTTGTTCAACATTGTAAAAGATGTAACTACCAAGCTTACATATGGAAGCAGTCTCACAAAGCCCAAATGGATATACCTTCTCCTGCAGAAAATGGATGGATCCTAGAAAATGGCGAACTTGATATACAATTGGCTGAAAATCCAAATGCCATTCTTCCACAAGAGTTGGTAGACATTTATAACGAAGAATCAGATGACAAAATTGATAATGATATGATAGATAATGAAGTCAACAATTTCATAGATGAAATATGTTTAGGTGATGTTGATAACTAACAATGTTCAACTGCTTGAAGCAAATGTTGAATTGAATGCTCAAGCAAAATGTATTGGTGAAGTTATTCAAAAACATATTGGTCAAACATATTAATCATTATTCAATGTTGTCAAGCATATTGACTGAATGTTGTCAATTGAATGTTTAGTCATCGCTATTGATTACATATATCCTAAAGCATACAGATTTAATGCTTATAGTTTTATGCTTAGAAACTAAATAACAAACAAAAAAGAAACGATTACTTTATGGATATCAAACCTAAGTGCATCTCGGGATTAAATGCATATACTGAAATCATTAAAACTAGCTAGATAATATATTTCAATTATGTCAAATGAAAATAGGTGATTATTGCATAATATGAATATGTTTTTGTAATATTTTCAAAAATGATGACAATCGAAAATATCTCTCTTGTAGTGTTGTGACAACCTTCTCAAATATATATTTTGAATTCTAAGATGTCTAATAAATATACTATTATTCTTAGCTACACCCTCAAAAAAGTGTTAAGACTTCAATTATATGTATTAATATGCAGATTTTGATGTGTGTAATCAACATGAGAAATTTTGGAATGGAGGCTGTAATAGTTTCTGAAATATAGCTATTTGAGAAAGTTTCAGGTAAAAACCTTTCTTTTGGCAAATGGGGGGGGGGGTCATTTATCCCTGGATGGCGATGAAGAATTATCAATATTGTACAATTCTTATGTCATATCTTAGCGTATATAGTCAAATTATTTTCTAAAGCCTAAAAACATTTAATAAATATGTCATTGGGTCATGCAATTTTTACTTCATGGCGACACTCCGAAAATGCTGAAATTGAACCTTGAAAATACCTTAATTATTAGATGTAGAATGGATAAATCTCAATTATATGTCTATTATGCAGAGTATTATGTGTATAATCACCATGAGAAATTTTGGAATGTAGGCTGTAATAGTTTCTGAAATATAGCTATTTGAGGAAGTTTCAGGTATAGACCTTTATATTCGAAAATGGGGGAGGGGGGAGTTTATTTGCGCCTGGATGGCGATGAAGAATTATCAATATCATACAATTCTCATGTTATTATTTTAGCTTATATAGTCAAATTATTTTCTAAAGCCTAAAAACATTCAATAAATATGTCATTGGGTCATAATGTCATTTTTACTTCATGGCGACATTCAGAAAATGTTGAAATTGACCCTTGAAAATAACTGAATTATTATCTTTAGAATGGATTAATCACCCGATTTGTATGAATTTTTCAAATTTTACTTTTACATACCTGTTCATTACCCATGCCAAAAATGAAGATGATCAAATAAATACTTCTTTAGTTATAAGCATTTGTCATAGTACCCCCAAGAATTTGTTGTCAAGGGGGGTAAAACTCAAAAATGACAACTTTCGCACCAGAAATTGATGTTAGACTGAGTGGATTCTAATGTAGGATGATGATATGGTTATATCTAAGCAATAAAATTATCCCCAGCTCCCGACCCCGACCAACCTTGCTATACAGCCCACTACATAAGGCAGTACTGAGTACCATACACTGAATGATAGAAATCACTCAGAGTGCAGAGCAGTACAGTACACATTTTGAACCAGCCAATACTATGCCATTGTATACATTACGGTATAATTCCATGCATCATGGGCTTCTTCATATGTCACACCCAGGAGCGCTTTGTGTTCAGCTAACAGGATAACAACAACTATATGAAGGCAGCAATTTTGCAAATTCTGTTTGACAGAAAATCTAAAAAAATTAATAAAAACTCAATCTTCAGATTCATTCAGCTTTTTGTTTATTAAAGTTCCCATGCAGTCAATTAAAAGCATGCATACTGCATAGTGCCTTTAAAATTTAACAAATCTTCATAATTTGACTGATTTTACAATAATAATGAGATCGCTATTATAAAAAACAAACAAGGCATAAACATGCCACGTGTCACCACCTGCCATTTGTTAGACATTGAATACTGACTGTCAAACACCAAACACCATCCAGAAAAATGTTGGAGACCATTACATTATGTCACCTCTTGTGGTGGTGACATAAAAATACAAATACTACATGACTAGACTACATCAATCATCATTTATGCTGATAACTTCTTTGCACTGGATCTCCTCAACACAAGTGTTGCTCAGGATTTTTCCTGTTCTGACTGAACAATACTGAACAAATATCACCATTTTTTCAGAATTCCAAGTATCAAATGTCTCCACAAAGTGCAATATTTCCCTGATAAAGATACCATTCCTTCTATGTGTACTCTATTTTCAATTTAAGTATAATTCAAAATTATGTCAGGTTTATGTTCTAAAGTCTGATCTTATTCCAGTCACAGCGGTTGCTGGATTACTACGATAATAAGATGTATATAATACAGTATGCCCAGTCTATCGCCACTCATAAAATAAACTGTACTATGTCATCAGTGTTTTTATCTATTATAGGGGAATATCATGCACAATGAAATTGCAGTTATAACGTAATGACAAAGGCAAGCAACAATTGCATTGACCTTTATAATATATCCATGATATGAAAGCCAACCAGTGGCTTCTGGGAATGTTGCATTATGGGAATACAAGCCCTGCTTTGAGATTATAAACATTGAGATCCTACTTCCACATGGTAAATTGAGGTTGTTGTTGCTGTGGTGATGATGCTGTACCATCTCTGTCTTCATCAGCTAGCACATCTCCACCCACTGCAGCATTCATAAATGGGTCATTGTTGTAGGCATAGGCTGATTCTGGTCTGCTATATGCAGCCTGAAAATGCAAAGATTGTCATTACATTCACAGGTTGAGTTGCAATTCCCTCTCAATTTTAATCTCAATCTTATTCTGATCAATTAAAGAATAGACTAATCCATCAGATCTTTGACAACATCAAAAAATTAGCTTTCAAAACAAAGTACAGTAACAATATACATGTACAAATACATTTATGTCAGGAACATTACACAATTGAATTTTGTGGACTACCTCATATTATATATATATATATCTTTATCTATTGAATTACACTTACATTTATGAAATACTTGTTATTGTATAAATACCTACCATTCTTATGCCAGCTCCTGGTACCCTTGGTGATGTCCTTGGGGATATGGAGTTACTAGTGGCAACCTGAAACACAACACAATGCAATCAACACCATTAAAAATACAGTGACTTAATCTATTTCATAGAAACATCTTTTCTTTGATAGTTACCCGGGTACTGTCTTCGACAAAAGGAGTGACCTGGTTGAGAATTTCTTCGCAGCTTGATAAAATGGGAAAATCATAAGAATTAAGATATGAGCCTCGCCATAGGAAAACTGGTCTTATCACAAAAATTTAAATTGTGCTACAGAGCCAAAATTGTGCCCAAGATTAAGAGGAAAATGTACTAAATTCAAATTCGTCTTTTTGGTCTATATCTGCAAGGAAAAATTGTTAAGATACAAGCCATGGCTCATCTGAAAGGTCTCTTTGTGTTTTTTAAGAAAAACAAAAAATCGAAACATTGAAAAAATCTGTGATAAGACCCCTTTTCCTGTGGCCTGGCTCATATATTGAAATTTCAATTGTGTTACATCCTGTAAAAGTGCACTATTGTAGCTTTTTATATTTTTGGGGGATTCACCATGTTTTTATAATGTAGTCTCGTCTCAAGACTGTGTACCCCTGTGAACTTCAGTACTTCACCTTTCAACACCTTCCCTTGTTGTGTTGGAAGGGGGGGTGAAGTCTTGAGGCAAGACTAGTATAATATAACCTTTACCTTTTTAATAATTCCCATCTCTATGAGCAAATGTTTCGGAGTCTGTTTTAACCCTAAGGCAGCAAAATGAGGCCAGATTTTCTGAGATGCAGAAGCAAAATCCTTTGGAGTCCTGGAAAAATAAGGCTCTTTCGTTTCAAGAACAATCAGATATTTGGGAGCAATATTTCAAAATTCATAACTTCCCAAATGATACTGGCAGTATTTCAATAATGCTAATAATATTATTTGTCTTTTCATCTTATAATATGTATGTATATGTATGTATATTTATTTATTTAAGTGCCTCGTATAGATACCCAGCCTATTTTAGGCTTATGGGGCACATTGTACAATATACATGTATTTGAAAACAATATTATAAGATTAAATATTTAAACAAAGCTTGCTCTTTTGATAAGAGCAGCATTCAGGAATTTTCCAGTATGGCGCACTAATCTAAAATCATGTAATAAATCTTTCAAAAGTTCATCATCAATAATAAGTTCCTGTTTTTATAAAATACGTTTAACAGACAAAAATAAGTCATCTCGTAAGTTGTTATATGATGGGCATACTAGTAAAAAGTGGAACTCGTCCTCCTAAATAATGGATATATTATCATTCTTACAATGTAAGCAAAGTCTCTGGTCAACTGGGATGGATCTATATCTTCCAGTCTCCAGCATTAATGGTAGTGTGCCTGATCTTGCTTTTGCAAGCAATGATCTGAATGTTCTTGGCAAACAGTTTTTGACATAATCTTCTGTTCCAAATGATGTTTTAAATGTCCTATAAGTCCTTAGTTTTGGCATATTGGCGATCTTAAGTTTCCATTCTTCGATGTATCGTTGTAGTTCCGCTGTTTTAACAGAATCGAGGATGAGTGAACTATCTCCAAAGTGTCTTGTTTCATATTCTCTTAGCAAATTAGCAGATATAAATATTTCTCTGACATCCTTGCACCAACATTTGTGTCCTAAGATAGCATTTTCATAATCAAAGTCGAAAATTCTTCTAGTTAGCCTATCTCTAGGCATTTTGCTCAGTCTAATAAAGAGTCTCACCATCTCTAATCGGTGCCTTATGTTAGGCGGTATCCATCCCATATCACCGTAAATTGCTGGAAGGGGAGCGTATTTGCCCAGGCCAAGAAATGTTCGCATTGCTCGATTTTGTACTAGCTGTGGTTTGCTAAATTCCTTATATCGCCAAACTCCTGATCCATAGTCCATGATTGGGGTAATTGCACTGTCGTATATCTTAGTATATGTACTGAAGTTTAATCCATTTATGGAAAAATGTTTGCTGATAAGTCCACCAAGTGCACGACCGCTGGATTCAGCTAATGTTGTTGCAGTTTCGGTGTAGTCCAGTGTCTCGTTTAAAATAAGACCGAGATAACGGTACGATTTTGCTATCACTAAATTAGAATTTCCAAACTTGAAGTTAAAATCAGTTTTTGACCGTGTAGCCCGTCTGAAATGTGTTACTTGGGTTTTCTCTGTATTTACAGGCGGTAACTTGTCTCTTTTTCAAAAAAATTAAGGAACCATTAAAATCAATTTCTTAGAATGCATCTTTTCTCTCTAAAGACTAATCTCTTCACATTATCTTGCATATTGTCGGAGTTTTTATTTTAAGATCACATCTTTAAGTCTGTCTTGTTATCATACCTTGGGTATATTATTGTGAATATATTCAAAGATAATACACACTGAGTACCTGTTTTCAGAATCAGGAAGTTCTGGCTGAGCCCTATTCTCTAACAAGATCATCACAACCTGAATTTAAACATGAAATTATATACATTACAAGGGCCGATCAAAAAGTTTCTTACCGTTGGCTCTAGATTTAATAATAAGAGGAGTTAGATGCTCAAATTTTTACATGAGACAGGATAGTAAGTTTGCTTGAGACTGTCTGAGTTTCATTTAAATTGGTTCATTGGTAGTGACACAGAGTCAATACATATTTTCAATGATTGAATTAGGTGGAGCGGCGTTTTTTATAAAAAATTGTGCTAAGCTGCAGTTTTGGAAATTTCTAAAACTAAGTAGTGTCATCTGTCAACAGACTGTAGTTTAATCATGTTTAATTAGTTTTTCTGCTAATATTCATTCTCATTCAAAATATTCAACCCCAGTTGCAATGCACTTCCTATAATTGTCCACTCGATCCAAAAACACATGTTTAAGGCCTTCGTATGAGAGGTTTTAAATGATGTCAGTTTTCCAGAACCACAACTCAGCAGATATTTTATATATAATGCTGCTCCACCTTACTTTGTCATTGAAAATATGAATTGACTCTGTGTCACTACCAATAAACCAATTTATACGAAAGTCGTAAAGTTTCAAGCAAACTACCTATCCTGTCTCATGGTTAAGTTTGAGCTTCCAACTCCTCTTATTATAAAATTGAGAGCCAATGGTAAGAAATTTTTTGATCGGCCCTTGTATTACTTTATTTTAATTTTGCTAGAATACATATTGGATTTCAAATATTCTCTTAATGGTTTAAAACTTTGAAATTATGACAAAACATTTCCTTACTGGACCATGTTCTTGGAAACATGCAGCATGGAGCGGGGTCCAAAGTGTCCCTTTGTTTTGTGAGTTGACATCTGCACCTTTAGCTACCAGCGCTCGTACTATGTCCTTAAACCCCCAGAAACAAGCTAGAAAAAAGAAAATAATTACATTGCGGTGAGGTGGGTGCAAGGGACTTGGTCTCATATTTTAATGCTGTCCCACAACATTATGAATTACACTTCAGCTTAAGAATTCCATTCCCCAAATTTTAATTGATTTTTCAACTTAAATGTTGATATTTGCTTTATAAAGAATAATGGATTTCCAAATCCTATGGTTCATTTGCATGAAGTCTGGCCTGACCCATACAGTGATACATGTATGATAGATACACATATAACAGATGACATATTTATTTTTCAGTTCCGTTTTATTGAAGTGCCATTGACTCTTGTGTTACCAGAACCTCCTAATGTGAACATATTTCAATGTGAACACCTTTAAATGGGAACACCTATACACTCACAAACATACATGTAAACACCTTATCCATGTATCTGACCTTTGCTTACGAATACCTCCCATCTACTATGAAATCACAGAGCAATCACTGATTGGCTTTGACAAGAAAATAGATAATGGGGACCAGAGACTTGTATACTGTACATACCTATATAGAGCTGACTCTGCATGGCTTCATCTGCTGTGTCCCCAGTGATCTCTACATTTTCTGTTAGGAACCTCTCTACTAGCTGTAAAAGAACATGAAGAAATTAGATGATTATTGACATTCTGATACTCATAGCATCTTTCTGTTTCACCTGAAACTCAGGGCTGGGAAGAATTTAGATCTCATGGTTTATCATGATGGATTATTGACATTAATTAACAGTCATGAATCCACAATGCCTGACAGGACTATTTGGGCACATGTCAGAGGACTATATCCAAGAATATATCATGATCATATCCAAGGCACCAAGCACTTGTCAGGACTGTATCCAAGCACATGTCAGGACTGTATCCAAGCACTTGTTAGGACTTGTTAGGATTGTATCCAAGCACATGTCAGGACTGTATCTAAGCACATGTCAGAACCATATCCAAATGAATATCAAGACCACATTCAGAAGTTTATACCAAGACCATACCAAGAGACATAACATGACAATATCCAGGCAAATATCCAGGAACATGTCAAGACTATACCCAGGTACATAACAGGACCATATCCAGAGACATCAAGATCAAATCATGTTGCTTGTATCCAAGCACTTGTCAGAATTGTATCCAAGCAAATACCAGGTCCAGATCCAAATATATGACAGAAACATATCTAAACCAGGCATTTTTCCAGACAAAAAGAGCATATCAAGATACATGTATAAGGACCATATTATCCAAAGAAATATCAACGCCTTATCCAGGTTTATATCAAGACCATATTGAGACACATGTCAAAACAATATTAGGTACATATCAGGATCATATCCAGGCTTGAGTCAAACCCTGTCCCAGATATGTATCAGGACCATATCAAAACATAAAACAAAACATATTAAGGCACATGTCAGAAGCACATCACAGCACCTTCCAGGACCATATCCATGTCAGGGCCATACTACAATACATGTCAGGAACATGTCCAGGCACACAACAAGACCATATCCTGATACATATCATGACCATATCTAGCACATTTCATACTCATATCCAGGCACGTGACACGGGTCATAGTTGCAATTTTTTAAAATACAAGTATTTCATTTTCCTCAATGTGTTGCACTATTGTATCATTTATCATGGTACCTAGTGTAGTTCATCTTACACATTTTTGATTTAAAATTATAGAATGTGGCAATCAAATCAAGTTCTCATTAGTATTGCTAATTTACTGCTACACTGGGTTATGTAATTCATTCACAAAACAAGTTTCATATCACACACACAGTACAAATGTTATTCAAAACATTTTGGGACAATTTCTATTAAATCAGGGATGTTTACATACTGTTAAACCTTAAAGAAAGTCTATGGTAATAATCAAATCAGAAATCACACATTGATTGCAAAGTATTATCTTCGTGTATACTATGAAGAAAATTTCATAAAGCATTTGGATACTAATTCTACTTAGTTTAATTCTAGGTTATACATAAATAAATAGATGATAATAATTTATCCATGCAAATACTTGATAACCATGCATGCCTGCTCTAGGACTAGTGCATAACTGCATGCCACATTTAACTTTGAACAATAGAAACATTTGAAAGAAATACTTCCTCACTTAACTTCATTTAAACCCAATAAATCACAATAAATTACATATTACTTAATTATTACAAAAATGCTAAAATACAGTGCTAATATGTTGAGAAAATGCAAAACAGGTCTATTTTCAAATGCTTTATTCAAAAATGTGATTGATGCATGTTTCATATTTATAATTTGAATATTTATTCAATTTATGTATTCAATTTATTTATTTGAACATATGCCGTCTAATTAGAAATGAAAAGTTTAGCACACAACATAAAAAAGGAATTGATCTTGGAATAAACCTATCTTAACTTTTATTTGTAACCAAAGTTCTAAATGGGTAAATCAAAATGATAGAGATACATCTATTCAAAATCATATATATAAGTTGAAGTTTTATTCTGAGTCAAAATGTAGAACATATTTCAATTTCAGTGCAGTCAAAGAATACAATATCAAGGTATTAGATTTCTATGGAATGTACTTTGGTGATATATGCCAATATAGATTTAAAATATCAAATATTGGACATAAAAAGCAGGCTTTAGACAAAATGGCTAAGTAAGTTGTTGCATATTTTAATGGCCTACATTCTGCAACAACCAAAGATAGCAATTCCAAGATCTCATTTCCTTAAGCTAAAGCAAACTCATAATTTGAAGACTATTTTGGCATTCTTCTACCTACCCTTAGGTCATCTATACTAGCCAAAAACCTCTGAAGAATGAATGTATAATTATGAAATGAGCACAGTTACATACTTGCTTGCAGGGCCAGGGGTCAATCATGATCAGGGTACATGTATTTTTATTTCATTAGATTCTCTAAATTCAGCAATTTTCTATATGAGGTCATAAACAAGCAAGTAATATTGTGGAAAAAATATAAGTAAGACTGATTTTGTAAAATCAAACATTTTATATATATTTTGTATTGAGTTTATGATTGTGATATATCTATTTCTTCAAAATATATATCTAAAGCATAGAGTAGGACTTATATTTTGCACATCATATCCAATTGAAATTATACGAGCAGATAACGCATGTTTCTTAGAACTCGTAAATTGAAAGTCAATATTCTTTATGCAACACTATTTGACTGATAGGAAATGGTTGAATTTAGCAAGCAATCCATCATTCACATGGTGGTTGTAGTTATAGAATGCAATAACCTTTTAATGCTCTCCTTGTAATATATGCTTTTCTAACCTGGTCATTGTACATATATGTAACTGTCTTGAATGTAAATGTTACTGAGTATATCATTAGAACATATTGTGTTGAGAAGAGGACTTGCTCTACTGTTTATTTATGATGAAATTGTGAAATTCTGTACCTCACAAACAATCATTTTTAATCAATATTGGTTTATAGCATGGGGTTTCAAGAGAAAAGTACCTCGTCCTGTTTTTTCTACAAACCCAGTACTTGTAACTAGAATGGAAGCTAAAGTCTGATGAAGAAGAATTTTTGAGAGAGAATTGGAGGACATGTGATTTGACATTACGTTTTTAGTTATAAGAGTCCAAGTCAGCATTCTGTAGAATATTTTAATCAGAATAATCTAGGCCTCATCTATCAAACATTGGCTGAATCGCATTAATCATGGGAACTCAAATTCTACACATATACGTCAATAATCTGCAAAAGGCTAATAAGCTCATTTAAAGCAGATATATGCAGGGTGTTAAAAACGCAACCGAAAGAAATCACAGTATCTTGGAAAATACTACAATTGGAGGAAGTGTAAGTTGTCACTCGTTATTTTTCGTGACTGAAATTCCCTACAAGATTTCATTGTCGTGTTTGGATGCGTTCCTCAATGTAACCTAGCAGGATGGATGACATAGAACAAACTGCTAAGTAGACACATGGTAACATTTCATTATTTCGTTATTTTAACAATATGAACTTCTCACTAGAATAAGTGTTTTTATCTTCAGCCTAAACAAGCTAAAGTTTAGGCTAAGCTTAAAATTTTAGAAAACAATCGCCGATAAAACCTATCACCGTGGACTTTCAAGACTGAAATTAACACATGCTATCTATTGCAAGACTTACGCCTGCCACAACCGTCACCATGTTAATCAGTGTTTTTTAAGTAGCGCAAGGATCCTGCCATGACCGTGGTAGTGTTATCGTGTAAGCCTGGTATAACCGTGACAGGCTGGTATAACCGTGACAATGCTGTATTCTTTTGCAAGGCCTGTCATGACCCTGGAAGTGTTATCGTGGAAGCCTGGCGCGACCGTAGCCTTTATTGTGGTTTATAAGCGAATGTGAATATTAATGTATAGTAGTAATTTTGATTTTGACATGATTAAGGTAGTTAAACACCATGGTCATAGTATTAAACTGTTTAATTGTAATGAGGATCACTTAAAATTGTTAAGGATATTCCTGGCATTAATGTCATACATATTTACTAGTCATTGCAATACATTATAACGGTCATAGTAGAACTAAGCCTAAATCTCTACATTACCACCCTCATACCTGGCCTTGCAATACTATATTACATTGTCACGGTCATACCAGGCTTTGCAATCCCATAATACATTGTCATGGTCATGCCAGGTTTTCAAATACACATTGTCACGGTCAATTATAGCAATCATAAATTTCTACATTACCACTCTCATACCCGAACTTGGAATATTATATCACATTGCCATGGCGGTCATACCAAGCCTTGCAATACTATATTACATTGCCATGGTCATGCCAGGCTTTGCAATACACATTGTCACGGTTATAGCAGTCCTAATCGTAAATTTCTACATTACCACTCTCATACCTGAACTTGCAATACTATATTACATTGTCACGGTCATGCCAGGCCTTGCAGTACTATATTACATTGTTACGGTCATACCAAGCCTTGCAGAACTATATTACATTGTCACGGTCATGGCAGGCATTGCAATATAATACAGCATTGTCGCGGTTATACCAGGCTTTCACGATAACATTACCACGGTCATGGCAGGATCCTTGCGCTACTTAAAAAACACTGAATAACATGGTGACGGTTACGCCAGGCGTTAGTCTTGCAACAGATAGGGTCTCGAAATTAAACATGTTTCACAATGCATTACCTTTTCATCTCCTCGCTTAGCAAGACTAGAGAGACTTGCTAGTGGAACTTTGGCTATTTGGAGATGTTTTTGAAGGTCCAACATAATGTTGTCATCTCTTACTTCGTCCGCCATGTTGAATCCACTGTAAACGAACACATTCCATAAATTTCATTGATTATCACACATTAAACATCTAAAAACATCTAGGTTTGATTATCACCTCAAAAGTACGAATACACGACTGAGAAATAACATTTAGCCTATCATAAGCTTATGAACTGACTGATTTAATCGAATCTATAATATAAAAAAATAAAGTGTAAGATACACCTTCCAATATCTATCAGACGTTCAGGGCAAATTGTAATGGTGTTTCTGATTGGTCGTATTTTTGTTACACGCCAATTGATTCGACTATCTAAGCCACGTGATCAATGTTGCCTAGGATTAGAAATAGTTGACAACATGGCTACCCGCAGTGTTCTGCTGAGCCGTTTTTAAAACTCCAAAGATTGATCTAAATGGGATTCATCATGACAATACATGAAGTATTTACATCTTGGTGAACACAGTGGAAGACCTGTGTTTTCGTAACAGGTAAGTTTGAACAATTGATTTTACAAATCACGGTGAAAATGAAGATCGAGTCCACAGGGAAGTAAGTTAGATCTAGGCCTACCCTATAACTTACAGGTGGGGGACAAAAATAAACCTCAACCATCAAAAGTTGTCACAATGAGCTAAGTTTCGTGTCTCAAACTCTCCAAAGCGGTAAAAAATAATTCCCGTTCACTTTAAGGTGCTATGGAACTTAACAGGAAATGACAAAACAGGAAGTGACAATTTTTTTTGCATTTTTAGATATTTTTTGAACAAAGATAACAGAGTTCTGGTTTGACCTCCAGTCAATTTAACTATTTTCACATATCATTTACATGACCAGGATCACAATGTGCATGGTCAGAATGACCCTAAACATGATGAAATAACCTTTTTAGCCCTTTGAAAGTGTGACTGAAAAAAAGCTAAAAGTAGGAGCGTAGGGAAGGTCACTGAACAGAATCTTTTGAATTTTTCAGAAAATGTGCCCAATATATTGCTCTAAATGATACAATCTTTGAAAATTTGATATCATTCATAGAAAAAGAAAAAAAAATGAAAAAACTGATTTGAAAAGCAATCTATTTTCCTTTTTATGACTGCCATTTTTGTTTAAGACAATTTTCTAAAATTTCAAAGATTGTACTAGTTAGAGCATTATATTGGGCACATTTTCTAAAAAATTCAAAAGATCCTGTTCAGTGACTATCCCTACGCTCCTACTTTTAGCTTTTTTTCAGTCACACTTTCAAAGGGCTAAAAAGGTTATTTCATCATGTTTAGGGTCATTCTGACCATGCACATTGTGATCCTGGTCATGTAAATGATATGTGGAAATAGTTAAATTGACTGGAGGTCAAACCAGAACTCTGTTATTTTTATTCAAAAAATATCTAAAAATGCAAAAAAAATTGTCACTTCCTGTTTTGTCATTTCCTGTTAACTTCCATAGCACCTTAAGTAGCACAATAAATTAATCCAAAGCTTCATACCTGCAAATGATGGACAAATCCCTACCAAATCGAACGAATGTTTTCATGAATCGCCATGTTTGTGATCCAAGGAGGATTGACTCCCAGAATGCAACATCAGTTAACCTTATTCGTGACAGGTTCCAAAATGGCGGAACGGCACGTGTCATGTTGGATTCTGGGAGCCAGTGCTCATTGCGGTGTAATCGGGCTCCAAAATCACCTCAACATTTGGAGAGTCGACATTAACATGTGAATATCCACTTGAAATTTTGAAGTTCCTATTTGTCATTATGGACACAAATTCCACGATATCTGGACTTACTAGGATGAAGAAAATAGAGCACTGAATACACTGAGGTAAGAATTTTTTACATGTGCGACAGCATGTAATTTTCATAGCTATAGTAATTCTTTATGTTCCCCACTGTAGGCTCCTTCGTCTTAATAAATTCAGACCGAATATTATATTGGGTCTGTTTGTCTAACCTGTAATAGATCTATCTGAAAAATTCGTAAAAAAACATATTTTGCTTCCGAAAAAACTTTCGTTATCTTGACGTTTTCTAGTTCAATATGTGTCACCATCTGTGTTGTGTGTGCCGTATTTCGACGTCAAACTCTGAATGGCTTAGTGAGTTCAGAGATTTATTGTAAACTGAAAGAGTGAAGACGAACCTCTCTTCTAAGAAGCGAAGTCGAACGAATGCAAATGGTACAATGCACAAGTAGTTGTGGGGGTGATTTGGGGGTAGTAGACCTGTGACTGTCTCATGTCTGTCACTCTGCAGTTTTATCTCGTTTCAATCCCATTCTGGTCTTGGGAGCGTTCAATAATAGATCCTATTAGATTTCAAAAGTCAAAAAACGGAACGAGCCACACACAAATTTCAATCTTTAAATCAGACAGTACGAACTTTACTGAACTGAGATTACAATTGGTTTCTTAATGTTACAGTAATTGATGTAACCTCAGTTCGGTAATGTTTGTAATGCACTTACATGTAGAAATAATTTCTGAAGTTAATGGTGGACATTTTGAAATAACAGCCAATTTAAAGATCGAAGTGTTTATCTCTCTAACACCCGCGAGAGAACATTTAGGCTAGTGTTTAGAATCGACTGAGGTAAGGAATATGTGCATGCCTAGCGCCATTTATTTCGCCTTTTGAAATTTAATATGAGCTTCTATTAAACATTCCCAAGACCAGAATAGGATTGGAACTAGATTGTAACGCAGTTATGGGCAAGCCCAAATCATGATCTTTACCAATTTAATTTGTTTGTCATGACAATGTATAGTAAGAAGTATTTTTTCTAAAGACCAGTCAAGATTTTTGAGCTTTTTGTTCACAAAATTGAAAAAAATCTCAAATCTGATAATGATCAGTGCAGAGGGTTAATATCAAAATGTCATGGAACCTTGAAGTAAATGCCAGGCTACTCTCATGACATCACCCCTGTCAGTGAGGAGTGCTATTGGAATCCTAATCAAATACCAAGCTTAAGGTAACTAAATAAGACAATATAAGATAATGTTTATAATATTTCTGGGAATAACATTACATATACTTTTCTTGTAGAATCTCAATGGCGCACAATCACCTTAATGGCCTCAGTGCGAGCCTTGAAGATCTGTCTCTCAAAAAGCAGTTGCCTTTGCGACAACAAAAAGATAAACCTGTACTCAAGTACAATGCTTCAATGAATGCTCCAGTTCATCTGTTCAATCAATCAGATGTGAATAATTATCGTCATGGAATCAACAGGGGTCCCTTTCCAGGAAATGTCACTCATGGACGAACATTGTCATCACCCTTTAAATCAAAAGGTGGTGCTAGCAATGCAATGGCGGGAACAACCAGTGGAGGTTACGCTGGATATAAGAACACAAGTCCCCAATATTCACCTGCTGGCAGTCCAAATAAGACATCTTCAAATCCTTACTCTAAACCAATAAGTGCCAATGACATTAAACAGCCTGAGAGTTTAATACGAAGGAATTCCAATAGTAATCCTACCTTAGGAACTTCCACAGGCCCATCTACTGTTAAAGGAACTAGTAGTACTAACAACAACACAAACTTTCTGGCTAATTCATTCATGCGACCACAAAGTGCAGTAAAACCACCTCCTCATCCGTCTAGTTCTTCCCCTTCCAAACTTAAGTCTGATACAAACACTGCTGTAGTTCCAAGGCCACCATCAGCTCCCCGACCAACTTCGAGTAAATCAAGAACAGCAAGTCCTTGTCGCGTAGCTAGGAACTTAAATTACACCCCAAATAAGCCTTACAGTGAGGTTTCAGGGGGTGATTCAAGTGGAGGCACGAACACACCCGTGTCTTCAAGCCCTAAGCAGTCAAAATCAAGACCCCCTTCAGCTACATCTATGACTGATGGTGCTAAAAAAATGCCAGTGACAAATACTATTACTGGCACCTCGTTTTATAAAAAGGATTCAAAATCTTGTGAAAAAGTTGATGTCAGACCAAAAGCTGATGGTGCCAATAAAAAGATCAGTTTGCGAGAGCGACTGCCATCTTCATGTAGTGATGATGGAGAATGGGAAGACGAGAATGAAGAGACGGAATATGGAGGGTCTATACGACGACCTACTTCGTAAGTATTGAATTTTTAATTTTTCTTGTTTGTTATTATCTCACCACCACAAGTGGTGACATATTTTTATAGTCTCTAACCTTTTTGAGGACTGTGTTTGACCTTCAGCCGTTGACATCTGTAACAAATGGCAGTTAGTGACATTCTCCATGTTAATGCCTTGTTAAATATGGTATATTATATCCTTCAAAAACATCTGAAACATTTTGCTTCTGATAGGATAAAAACATGCATATTTTCTCCCTGCTCTTAAATGAATTCTTAGAAGTAAGATCTTTGGTCTTGTTATATCGTGGCAGTTACACGAAAAGGATCAGTTGCTGTCTTTGTAGATGGATAACAGATTATATTTTATTGAGCTATCTTTACAGTATGACAGAAGTCAATAAGTTAAAGATTTCCTATTATTACCACCTTGCCGGGCCAGTTCTAGGGGTTTTAGTACTAGTTTAGAAGGCATTCATTTTACAATATCGACCTGAGAAATGTGTGACGTCATAGTGGTGGTCCATATGGACCGGTCTAGAATATATTCTGGACCGGCAATTTTCCCCGGGAAATTAGATATGGTTCAGTGCGTAAGATTTTCTTGCTATTTCAGCCCTGGTCGTTAACGGTGGTAATAATACTAATAACGTAATTTCTGCGAGCAATATAGTGAAATATTGGACCTTGGACCTCGGTCCAATATTTCACTATATTGCCCTTAGAAATGACGTTATTGTACTATTGATTTAATTTATATGCACTGGCATACAACTGCACTTTCTTGAGATGTGGCTTGCAGTTTTGGCCTTAAGATTATGATCCTTTATCATGTTATTCAACTTTCAAGGTATTTAACTTTGTCTGAAGGGGAAATTACTTTTTCCAGAAAGCTTAAGATTCCTTGGAAGTTGAGAATAAAATTGTAAATTAAAGTTCTCTTAATTCTGCTCAGAAATCAAATATGACAATCGATAAGAGAATAAGTAATTTCTTTAAGTGGTTGAATGTGCATATATCCCCTAAAATCTCTTAAAAACAAGACATTAACAAACTGGATATGTAAAGCTTATCAAAGGGTCTATTCACTATTGATGTAAGAAATCTAAGAATAACATGGAAAGATCAATGTATGTTCTCTTTGCATTTGTTCTCTATTCTCAGTGATTTCTGGCCCTTTCAATAGTTATTCAATAACTGTGTTAGTTTAATGAGATTACTTTTCATTAAACAAATAGTTACAACTCCCCAGCTTTGGTATTGGATATTAACTTAAGTTTAAAGTGCAATCGCTAAGAAAATAATTCCCAGAATAATAATTGTATTGAATTAAATATTTAATTGTCATACTCCTAAGTGTACTTTATATGTAAAGCTTATCTGTCCAATACAAGTAAACTCATATCCAAGTTTCCCCTCTAAATTGGTCTAAATTAGAACCTTTTGGTCAAATGTAATATTTTTAGTGCCTGTATATCTTTAGTGCCTGTTCAATATAAGAAAAGCCTTAATTTGTTGCTTTAGTGAGAGAGAGCCTGCTGATGGAGAAGACTCAGCTGACAGTGATGGCTATGATGATGATGGAGATAGTGACACTTGCAAAGATGGTGAAGATGATGATGTCGATGAAATGATTGATGGCATAGATGATGATTATGATAATGACTCAGATGGTAAGGAAACAGTTAAATGATTCTGTTTGGTCATTGTGTGCTCATTAATCAATATGTATACTCACTCAGCATATAATTCATACTTTACTTCAAATGCTTACAGCTGAATGTAAGTTGAAGAGACATACTCAATATCTCGCCTGACTGTATTTTGAATTTACACAATATAAAATATGCCTACATGGTCAGCGGTTTCATTAGCAGCAGGCAACAGGCAATTTTCACCGGCTGTTTTCACAAAATCGCCTGTTTTCAGGGATTTTTCAACTTTTCCATGTTTTTATGAATTCCATTAATTTTGCCTGTTGTTTTCATTTAAAGCCTGTTGTGGGAAATTCTAGTGAAACTCCTTATGGTTGTATTGATCTTACCATAGAGATGTTTCAATTTATCAATATACCCCTTTTGTCTTCAGACAATTCTGATGGCTATTCAATCACAACTAGCCTATCAAGGAAGTCATCGGCAGCCAGTGTCACTGTACGTGTGAAATCTGCAAAGCAGCGTCTGACTCTCAAAGATGTGGTGAAAGACAACTGGTCTGCAACTGATGAGGTTCAACCTGCACTCATGGCTAGTCTCTTTCCTAATGTACCTCCTACCATCAACTTTGTTCCAGAGGGACAAAAAGGTGAACTATCCTACAACTCCTATCAAAGTTGAACTACTTATTACATGTATAAAGAATTGTAAGTGTATACGAGGGTTGATCCAAAAGTTCCGAACCGTTTGCTCTAAAAATCTTAATATTTTATGAATGTTGTTCATATTTGGCCACAACCACCCCATATATTGTGGTTTCATTTTGCGTAAAAATAAACAATAAATCTGACCAGCAACATAGGTGTCTGGTTACCATAGCAACATGACAACAGGGTTGATGGAGCTGGAATAAATTAAACTTTATTCTGAATTACAGTAATTGAAGAGCTATTTCAGATCATTTCAATTCGTGGAGTTTCACCCCCATGAAATGTCATACAATACGTAATTATAGGTTATAAGTTCATTCGCCTTCAAAATAGTCACCACTATGTGCTACACATTTCTTACAGCGTTTCAACAGGTCCTGAAATACATGGTGAAGTTCACCTTTAGCTGTAGCATAAACACTATTAGTAAATGCCTGGATAAGGTCAGCTTCGTCGTCGAAATGGATACCACGCAGTGGTTTCTTGGCCTCAGGAAACATATGAAAGTCACATGCTGCCATATCAGGAGAATATGGCAGATGAGGCTGTAGTTGGGTCTGCAAGCACTCGTGTATTGCCTCTATTGTAACATTGGCTCTGTGGGCTTGGGCATTATCATGGTGAAAGTAAAAGTTCCCAAGGAGATCTGGTCGTTTTTTCTCATAGCATCTTTAAGATCTTTCTTCAACACCCGGAACACATTTTTAAACTGAGTAAGTGTCATACCTAATTGATTGAATCAAAATAGATCAACATACCTCATAAAAGTAATCTAGTTTACAACTTTATAAACGAGTGATTAGGTTTTGGAACTGACCTTTGAATAATAAGCTCCATTGACAGTGAACCAGGATAGCTGTGTCATACTCTTGCTCCACCTACTCTGTTATGTTGCTATGGTAACCAGACACCTATGTTGCTGGTCAAATTTATTACTTATTTTTCCACAAAATGAAACTTCTTTACATGGGGTGGTTGTGGCCAAATATGAACAATATTCATAAAGTATTAAGATTTTTAGTGCAAACGATTCGGAACTTTTGGATCAACCCTTGTATATCTACATATTAATCAATGAATAAAAACACTAACTTTATATTCTAAGTAGTCTTGTATCACTTTTGTTTCCCCAACCTTTTCACATTTTTACTGTAATTTTGTACTCTTTCACAACTACTTTTTTGATTCCAGTTGAGCAACTTCCCTGGGAACTTCGTAAACTGCTGAAGTGGCGAATGAGCACAATAACACCAAATGTTGTGAAACACGTCCTGGCAAGGTCACACTTTAGGGTCTCTAAAAGTAAGTCATCATAAAAAATCTTAATTCTCTCTACAAAAACAATATAATCATGCTTATCATGATATTTAAGTCGTCTAGCTTGATGTAAAATAAAATTTCTGTTTTGATGTATTTGTTCAATTTCTATTTCAGAAAACCATGACTGGATAGGCTACTGGGGGAAACATATGAAAGCGCCTGGCTTCAAAGCTATCCGCGAGTATCAAAAGGTATAATTAAGTTTATAACTTATAGAAATACTTTCATCAAAATTGTTAAATGTATATTTTAATGTAATAATGTTAATGTATATTGAGAGGAATTTCTGTATCTTTCACAAGTGATATTCCCCCATGACATCTGCTTACTGTTGTTTCTCATTTCATGTCATATTAGATTATAGTACAATGTATGTATAGTCTATGAATAAAATGCTCTTGCTAAGGAATAATGAAGCTTTGCGTCATGTGACATGCATTCAACCAATCGCTGAATGAGAAACATGAAAGTTATTTTATAATAATTATTATTATTTGTCTTAAGCTTGACCTTCCATGTATTGTAGGTGAATCATGTCCCTGGCTCTTTCCAAATTGGGCGAAAGGATAGACTTTGGCGAAATCTTTCAAAAATGCAGGTGCAGTTTGGGAAAAAAGAATTTGGATTTTTTCCACAAACATTTATTCTACCTCAAGATCTGAAGCAGTTAAAGAGAACTTGGGAAGATGGAGGAAATAAACAGAAGTGGATAATCAAACCTGTAAGTGATTTGTTTTTCTCAATTCTTGGACTAGCATGGAACAAAATTATTTTTTTCAAATTTTCTTTTGGAAATAGACATTCAGAACTGACTTTTACTTGGTTTATATGAGTAGAAAATTCTTATAGATAAATGATTCTTAATTGTTTTTACATTTTATTCTTACTTATTCATTGATGGCAATATATGAAAGTTTTGAAGTTACAAAATCCGAAAACAATTTCCAAAATTCATTCTGTTTCTATTCTTTGCCAGCTGAACTTAATCCATATACGTAGTCAAATGGGTTGTCATATTCTAACTATATTTTTTGATACTTGTGCAAATGTCAGGTTTGATGATGTTTGATTTCGAATTATTCTAAAATGAAAAATTAGGAGGGTATATTAAGATCTTGGAGGGATATGTTTTGTTTTTACCCCAATGGAGGCAAAAAGTAATGTAACTAATTTAAAAATATTAATATTAAGTACCTGTATAAAACTATAAGAATAAAATATATTTCCAATATTAACTTTACAAAATATTTCAATTCTACCAAATTTTTCAGCCTGCCTCTGCTAGAGGGATAGGGATCAAAGTCATCCATAAATGGAATCAAATTCCAAGACGACGTCCCGTGATTGTCCAGAAATATCTGTCACGTCCATATCTCATCAACGACAGCAAATTTGACCTCAGGATATATGTGTATGTATCCAGCATGGATCCACTTAGAGTGTACATATATGAGGATGGCCTCACAAGATTCGCATCACATAAGTAAGTAGTCACTGAGATTATCATAGCGATTTTTGAAATACATTGGGAAATGAGGTTTCAGCAAGGATTTTTAATCGAGGATATTTCTAGAAAATAAGGTAAATGTACAGGGTGGTCAAAAAAATGGCAACCCAGTATTTTCCTCACATCTTTGTCATCTTAAGAGATTATACACGTTATGTTATTTGGCACATTTGTACATCATTCAATTTCCTACCATCCTACCATATTTCTTGACCATCATACTTTAGGCAAACCGACACAAGTTGTCAATGACCCGACTGCATTCCTCAGCAGGTAATGGCCTGAAAGACACGGATAATCTCCCTTTTGAGGTCTGCAATCACCCTGTATTTGTAAAGGCTTTTAATTAGGATATATCTTGGAATATTCCTTGGAATCAATGAAAAATTGGGAACATTTATAGCAACAACTACCGTTCTGTTTTTCCAATATAAGTCCTACTAAATAATGAATCGCTTCTATGTTTTATATCACCTGCCTCTTTGTAATTGCACATGAGGTATAAATAATTCAAACGTGAGCCTTTTGTCTGTCTCTTTGAATCAGAGCTAGCATGTTTCTGGATCCATAAATTCCCAGATGTACGAGGGGTGATCCAAAAGTCTTGGACGCCCTGCTCTAATTTAGTTGGTTTTTGATAAAATTACTTTAAACTTTCCAATAATAAAGACCAACAACCTAACTACTTTGTGTGTTAATTTCATGGAGAAATTATATATTTGATGTAGTTTTCTAGATAGTTTTTAATATAGGGACCCCGCCACCCGGAACGGTATTCGCACATGACAACTTTCAGCCTTAAATGTTCCCGCCGTTTCGCAAGTCTTGACCACTATCTTTCCTTGAATTTTGAATGTTAAACCATGTTAGTTTACTTCCTTTGTTATTAGGCAATCAATTAATTGTGTTTTAATTATCATGTCATCTATGACAATGGCTGTATATGTTTAATTCTAAGAAAATGACATCAGACAAGCAACCCTCATTCTGGTATCATTTTTGTTCCAAGATGGCTGCTAAAATGGAGAACATGAAAGAAATCAAAGTGGAACAAAGTATACTACGAGATATTCTCACTATTATTGACCTTGAGCAGCTACCATATGCACGATACAGTCTAGATATGGCTCTGTGTGATTTTCTTCCTTTTCTCCGAGTTGAAAGAAGGGTTGAAAGAAAATGTTTTTTACTCATTGGATGAGGTTTAGAGTGGCACTCCAGCAGCATTTGTATCACATAAGCAATGGCGGTTTCATAAATGTCTTCCATTCATTGGTAAAGCGGTATGAAAAATGTGTTCAAATTCGTTGAAAATATGTTGAAAAGTAGGTCTTAATATATGAAGATGATGATGGCAGATGACACTCAGATTGAAAATCGGAAATTCTCTCATATCATGACTGGGGTTAGGTTGTGCACCTGCACGAAAAGTATTTCCCATATTATAACAGTTGTGACGTGATTTGCTATATTCAAATACCGTTCCGGGTGGCCGCGACCCGGTATTAAAAACTATTTAGAAAAGTAGCTAAAATATATTATTTTCTGTTGAAACTTATACACAAAGTTGTTAAGATGTTGATCTTTATTATCTGGAAGTTCCATGTAATTATATTAGAAAATAGCAAAGTTAGAGCGGGGCGTCCAAGACTTTTGGATCACCCCTCGTACAGCCTTATCTTTATATTCTAATATGGTAGCCTTGAAGGTTTTCAAATTATTAATTAATTATTGAAATTATCAACTAATCATTGCCTGATGGAGTAGTGTTAATGTAATACCTGGCCACACCATATTATGCTAAGAACAATTATTGTTGGACAGTAAACATGCCCAAGTGGACAGTAAACATGCCCAAGTGGACAGTAAACATGCCCAAGTGGACAGTAAACATGCCCAAGTGATTATAAGTAATGTTAATGATGAATTTCGCACTGAGTAAAGCGATCATCTTGTATCATACACATTAAACGTGGGAGGTGCACAGATCTTACCGAGAGGTTAAATCTGTACTCCTCATTTGTCTCTGAGAATTGTGGGAGAGTAACGCAACGTCCATTCAGCATGGCGGGAGATAGTCGCAAATCCTTAACATTCTTGCTGTAGTATCCATTGTTCACCCAGAATTCCTGGAAATAAAATCGGATGTAAATCATCGAATTTTACTTAAATCTGTCATTCAGTATATTTTATTCACTTCACTTATCGGAATTTTAAGACTAAAAAGTGGTCTGTATCTATAATATGCCTTCATGAACATTAGGAAGCAGACATGTTGTTCTCAAATTCTTTGAAACATATTGATGCGTACATGTTTCAATATATAAAATGTCAAGGAAACTTCATTAAAATTAGATGATACTTTCTTAAGTGCGTCATTGTGTTACCTTCATAGCATAATAGAATTGGAAGGCCCCAGATAGAACGGTCCACTTCTGCCACCTATTGTACCTCAAATGACCTACTTTACTGGTATTACGGAACTCTACGAGGCCCCATCTGTTAAAACAGGATTAAGTGAAAAAATATCATTCTCCATATAATTTGAATTTATATCTTAATTATTTCTAGAATTTTTTTCTTCACTGGGATTGATAATCATGAAGATTTCGTGAATTAAAAGAACGAATTTTCATATTTTTTAGTTATAATTGCTTTCCTCAAATGAGTGCGATGTAAAAAGAGCAAAAGGGGGTTTGTAATACAAATAGGGTGAAAAAAATTCCAAAACTTGATATAATCTTTAAAGTATACCTTTCAGGAATATGCATGTTTATGGCTCGCTGTGAGCTCCACACCCAGTTATCGGGTTTAAGCTTGGGTATCTTTTCATAATGTTTCCCAACTTTCCGCACCTTCCACTCCACTCGGCTGAAATTAATCCGCCATTGGTCTTTGTCTCCAGGTGGCGCTGATGTCACTGGAGTGTCTCGGATAAGATCACTGAATGGCATAGCAATTTCAACGCTCCAATAATTGTCTGAAATCATCATGTAACATGTTCTTTTGCAACCATTTATGAAACTGTACATTATAATGAATATACAGTCCATTGCACATGTCCAGAAAATGCTATCACATTAGATGACCCCTCCATTTTTACAGGACTTGATTACCTTGATAACATGTTATATGTGTTTTATATTGTATATAGATAATGAGAGGTTCATGTTAAAGAAATTCTCACTTTCCACTGGGTCTAAAGAGTTTGTAGTGGCTGGAACCTTGTTAATCTAGTTGTGGTAAAGACTGCAATTCTTTTGTGCCAATGGATGCCATTTGATTATTATTACCTGTATCACTTGGGTCATTGATGGTCCCATTGATGAAGACTGCACGCTTGAGCTTGGCCATTTCAAAACTGCTATTTGGTGACCCACCATTCATATAGGGCTGGAAAATAATTAAATCATTTCAAATTATACATGCAATTATGAACTGAGCATGGAAAGTTAAAAAATTTAAAAATTTATATAGGATTATAAACATGTTACTCTTAGAGTCTAATAATATTACCTTATTCAGTTCCAGATCCCAGTATGTGTTAAGAGCATTCATCTCATACTCCTTATATCTATGAAATATACAACAAATACAATTAAGACTACTGGGATACAATCTAGTTAGTGTTTTTATTAAAAATGAATTTCTGTTTTTAAATATAAAGCCAATAATCACACCCATGACCTTCTTAAGTCCCTTTCATTTTCAATACGATCAATGTGACTAATTTATTCTTTTTTTCAAAATTATACTATAAGTTATTGAATGATTTGAAGTGCAATACAGGATATAATTCTGCTCAAGAAATTCCGTATTTGAACAAGATGAAGTCGAGTGCCAATACAGAATATCAAGACAGAATATATCCTGTATTGCACTTCAAATCATTCAATAACGTTTTTATCGTGTGATCCTCTGTATTGCTACTGAGATTGTCCCCTCCGTACCAATATTTTCATTTTCTGTATTGCGACGGAGATGATCAACGGGGACAATCTCAGTAGCAATACAGATTGGTACAGCACAAGAACTGACCAATCAGAGGGCTTCATTTTACAGATCATATGATAAAAACTGTTGTTTCTCTTACCCATGGGTGCTGGACCCTGGATCTATAAACACCTCAAAGTCATTGTCTTGAAAAACTGAAAATAGATTACAACCATGGCCAATTTTGCTTAGTCAGGGGATTGACACACTTTAAGATGGCTTAAAGTTGAAGCTCATACAGGCCTCTATGTATATATTTAGGAATAAAGACTGAGATTTTATGATTTATGGCGTAATATATGACCGAAACTTTTATTCTATTCATTGTTAAAAGACTGAAATCGCGTAGTGATTGAGGCCTTTGGCAATGGCCAGAATAAGATTTGAGGTCATATATTTGACATAAATCATAAGATCAAGGTCTTTGTTGCGATTCTAATATGATATACAGACAAGAAACACAACTATTTGCATTTATGAATTTTAGTGGTCATACATACTCCAATATAGACCAATAAATCGATTGTTCTAGCCATTGTGACGTCACGTATCATATTAGAATGTATTTTATATGTCTGATTTCATGTGGTTTATTCATAGTTTGTTTAACAATTCTATAGAAAATGCCACATTTATTTACTCACTAACTGAGTCGTGTTCAGTCTGGTTTGCCCATATATCTGGTTCATCAATTCTTGCAGCGATATACAGATATTCATCATCGTATCTCATTTTAGCTCTGGTCTGAAATCTTGGTGTTGGATGCTGTGCCCCCTGAATATCTAGCAATAAAAGAATTGAATAAAGAAATCTGACAAACTTGCGGACATAACATTAAAATTCTTAGATAGACATAATATTTGAATACTCAGACCAAAAACAGACCTGTGTCTTAATAATTCTCAATGCAGAATATGTTTTGGGATCATTTTGAAGTTATTGCAAAGATCATTGATGCGAAGCAATGCAAACCTTGTGAACAAATGTACATGGATGTCATGTTTGATGGGGTTTTGATTGAACAGTACCAACCTATGAAGGCATCGGTCCATGGCACCTCAAGCCAAGCTCTCTCTTCTAGCCTACCATCAGTTGTGATCTTCTCTCCTCTCAGATGATACGCAATGTAAGACTTAGGGTAGGGGAGGTCACATGCTATTGCATCACATATGTTTAAACAGTCCTTGGAGGCTTTTACATGGCTAAAATTGATATAGTCAGAGTCTTATTAAGCTATAAGAATATTGCTAGATAAATAATAAAAAAAGAATATTTGGATTTTAAGCAAAATGCATGCTCATGAGAGAAATGAAAAATCGTAATTTTCATAGTAGGTGTCATAAATCACTATTTCCTGTATTGCATCATGATGAAATAGAACGCTTTCAATTTATGGTTCTGTTATTTTGAATAGGATTTACTTATTGATTCTCTCTCTGTCTCCATTCTGCATTATAGATGGGTCTATTCCACAGAATAAACCTACAGTTTTCAAGAATGACTTCCTCTCTTTTCTTTGCCACTGCTTCCTGCCATACTTTGTAATTCCTGCCTTCTTCCTTGTCTTTCGCAGTGACTCAACTGTAAATGGAAATAGAAAAGGTTCATTAAGATGGGGAGTAGAAAGTTGACTTGGGATGGTACTGAGTACATAATGTGTCACCGTTTTCATTTTTATTGATTGTTGGATCAAATTGGGGGTTTTGGTCTTTGAAATTTTAGAAAATTGTCTGAAAGAGAAATATTGGTCATAAAAAGGAAAATACATGTAGATCACTTTTCAATTCAGTTTTTTCAGTTTTTCTTTTTCTGACCTTTCCTAAGCTCCTAATTTTAGCTATTTTTCAGTCACATTCTCAGGGGGCTGAAAAAGTTATATATATCCTCATGTTTAGGGTCATTCTGACCATGGCCATTGTGATCCTGGTCATGTAAATAATATGTGGTACTAGTTAAACTGACTGGAGGTCAAAACAGAACTCTGTTATCTTGCTTGAAATCCAGCATGGTTTTGTCACTTCTTTGTCATTTCCTGTTAAGTACCATGGCACCTTAAATCACCTAATATTATCAACACTTTTTCATTTGACAAATTTAATACAAGGAATTAAATGATAAATAAGGCTAAACACAACAGATATGTGACTTTGTTTTAAGCCTCTGGGTGTAAAACAAACTCAAACATTAACATTTTTGTACTTACCATATGATTGGAACTTCAATTCAGCATGTTTCTGACCACTATCTATTTTCCATTTCATATGTTTCACTGCTTCATTATTGTGACCATGATTTTTCTTGCTCTTTGCAAACGTAGTATGCAATTCTGTCACGACAACAAGTGCCAGAAGTAAAGGAAAAGCACTCCTCATTTTTATTTAGTTATATGTGACTTGTATTGAATTCCTTGTATTGAATTCCTTGTATTGAATTCCTTGTAGACTATTATTAACCGTCCCAGATTGTACCCTCAGAGAAACATGTGGTGGCCTTGGATTATTATGATATGTAAAGAGTAAGCCAAGAAGTAAATACTATTTTAATTCCATTTGTTTTGTAATACAATATCTGTTTACACTGTATAATCAAGAACAGTCAGAGACAGTGTATACAAACTAAAACCATAAAAACAGGGGTGATATAATTGGATCATAAAGATCTAGTTACTGTGTTAATGGTTTACCAACATTTGAGTAACTGGTTTGAAAATGACCTTGAATTAAGTTGAGAATCTATTTGAACCTTGTTATTGTTGAGGATTTGAGAAACTATATGTATAGTGAGAATTGCATCACGATAAACCATGACATCTCAAATCTTCTCAGCCCTGAGATGCCATGATATAATGAGCTTGATTTGGCGATCCAGAAGAGCCCAAAATTGAGGATTTTTGAGATCTTTCATCCCAGCTCATATTTCATCTAATTGGGGTCATAAAACTTGTGTAACTGTGCCTGTTATGCCTAATATCTGCTGTTACATACAATGCCTATTATGTAATGTATTGACATTAGGTTGATGATTAACGTATACATAAAAATATTGGGTGAGACTTGAGATAATGTATGCGGCGCCAGTCAAAATTGAAACTTCTGATTGGGTTCGAAGCCGAGATGCCCGGATATGTCCCAGCAAAAGCCGGAATTCACGTGATTTTTCACGAAGAAGGGGCGGAGTTTAAGCGAGATTCATCGAGACTTCTTCGTGTCAATCGTGTCAATCCCTGCATTGCTTATTGTTAACTCCACCTTTTTGCCCATATATGGAGATGGAGATGCCACTTGCGAGCGTGAACAGTTCAGTCTAGAAATAGAAATTTCTTAAGCGATGTCTTTCTTCAATTTTTCTACACGATATCTCGATAAATAGTGGACATATTTGTACCATTCTTTCGTCAAAATGAGGGTATCGCTGGAATACATATTTCCAATCTGTTGGTCAATAGATTTATTCATTGATACTGGCAGGAATTAGATCGTAATAAACATGCTAAAATTGTAAAACTTGGAACGTTTGACAGTAATCTCCGAGTAATGTATGAATTGCATCGGGAGAAAGCAGGAGAAAAGCTGGGACAGTCTGTTGTGTGGAGTTTGCAAAGCAATCCCGGATATAAATGACGTCATCTTAGTTTACACGGTTTCGAAAGCCTGGGTGTCGTAGTGATGAGTTTGAATTATGTCGATTATTCGATTGTTATATATAAATAAACATCGATCTTCGGCGAAGATAAAGTAAGAACAACATATATATCCGAGAAACATGTTGGTAAGTACAGTATTTCATTTATAATGTCAGAAAATCAAATTGAATCGAAATCGAATTTTCAACTTTTTCAATTTTTTTTCGTTCGATTATTTTGATTTTCAATTTGATTTTTACATTCTATCTTCTTCGTCCTGCGGGACTATACTAGGCATAGGCCCGGAACATGTATAACATTGAGCAGGCCTGTAGCCAGGGGGGGTTCGCAGGGTTCGGACGACCCCCCCCCCCCCCCTGGCCAAAAATTCTTTCAAAATCATGCAGTTTTTCACAATTTAGAGCACTTCTCGAGTGATTTTAGCCATATTTGGGCCAAAATTGTCAAATGTGAACCCCCCCCTGGAAATTTTTGAAAACTGAACCCCCCCCCCTTGGCAAATCCTGGCTACGGGCCTGTTGAGTCAAATTCACTTAAATAGAACATGCTGTAAGCTTTATTTCTTTACATTTTTACGGGCCTATGCCTGGGCTATGACTCTAGGCCTAGACTACTACTGTACTAGATCTATAGGACTTAGACTAGCCTAAAGCTAGAGCCTTAGATCTAGCTCTTTCAGAGGCTGTGACTGATATGTTAGAACAGCCTTTAGAGCCCCCTATCAACCGCTTCAAAATTGTGTTAGTGTCCTCCTTGCGAAAATCGAAAAAAATTAAAAGGTGCTTCTGTGCCGAACAGCAAATTCTCATTATACATTGAGAAGCTACTCTTTACCAAGAAACCAAAAATGGAAGTTTTGACGGAAAGACATGACGTACAAGTCAAAATCTCTGAATACATGACAGATGAATTTAAATCCTGATCGGCAAAAAAGCGGCTAATAACTTACATATTTTCTCAACAAAAAGCACTGATGTAGCTCACATTGGGAGATAGTAGTAAGCACTTGAAGTTGATTTCAGTAGATCGGTTACACCTGTCATGATTTCAAGGAAAGACACAAAGTATCCGTCAAAAGAGAAAAGCTTACATAAATGCGAGCAAAATCTGCAGATTTATTATAGCTATTGACTTCTCGAATATGTTGAACGCACAACTCTAAACAATACTTGAAATTGAATAAAATTGACAAAATATGAGAAGACAGTCTAAAACCTAACTGGGAGAGCTGCCATTGTTTGCCCGGAAATCTTCAGAGATTTTGACTGGTACCCTGTGTCTTTCCATCAAAATTGCCATTTTGGTTTCTCGCTGGGTAATTCACAGATGAAGAGAAATCTTGATTGACAAAAATACAGCTGATAGCTAACAGCTTTTCTTAAACAGAAGATAAAGGAAGATATAAAGGAACCTGTTATGATTTTGAAGCGGGTGATAGCCGATAGGGGGCATGTTAAGGCTGTAAGTAGAGGGTGTAGCCGAATAAATCTAACCCAAATAGAGTTTAACACATCTCAGTATAGGCACAATTAAAATTCATTAAAGTTTCATCACTTTAGCATGTGTACATTTGCTGGCCTTCTAATATTTTGCCAATAGATTTGTTAGGCTTGATTGCAAATTCTTATGAAATATAAGAGTGTATGGTTTCAATGTACTGTACTCCCGATATTTTTCGCGTGCAATTTAGTTTCGTGCTTTTCGCGATTGTGTAAAAATCACGAAAATTAATAGTCGCGAATATCGCCAATTAAAGGCTGAGGTGCAACATGCCATTGACTAAGATCTAGAGATTGTAAATCTTATCCAAAGTATATGATATTGGGTAGGTGTAATTACTGTAGATAAGATAAATTAATTTTGAGGATTCAGAGAATAATGGAAGTTAAACCTTTGATATCCGCAAAATTTAATGGCCGCAAAATTGGTATTTCTCAAAATTCATGAAATTTAAACTCGCAAATTAACCGGTAGTACAGTATTTGCATGTGGAATAATTATGATATTGAGAGCATTGATGAAACAAATGCAATGAACTGATTTGATTGGCCAAGGGAGCATTGGAATTTTGACCTGAAGTTCACATGATGTATAGGCCTTATGATTTTTTGGAATTCCAGTAATACTATTAATGTCTATTATACTTATACAGTAAAACCTGTCTTATCCAAATGCCACCGCTACAAATTAAAAACATTCAGATTTAAACGTCTGATTTCGAGGTTTTTGCATCCGAAAGATTCTTGATTTTGAAAAAATATTAATGCATTTTCACTTAATATTACTAGCATTGTAGGCGTTATGATTTTTTGGAATTCCAGTAATACTATAATATACTTATACAGTAATATCTGTCTAATACTTATACAGTAATATCTGTCTAATCCAAATGCCACCATGACCAGTTAAAACACCATGACCAGTTAAAAAAAAACATTCAGATGTGGAGGTGATCGGATTTCGAGGATTTTGCATTCGCAAGATTCTGCATTTTAAAAATATAAATGCATTTTCACTAAAAAGTATTAAGATTACTTTTGACCGCATAGCTTTATGACATTCCAAAATCCAAATCGAATGCTTGAAAGGTAAAACAGAAGTGTGCAATCAGAGATGAGCATGAGTATATGAAGGCCATGTGTCAACTCTTCGATTGATAATACGCCTCGAAATAAACACCCACTGGCTTGGGAAAGCTATTTTCCCTCTAAATAAATGCCTGTCCCCTTGGAAAAATGTTTTCAATTTCCCTCTTAGTCTTAATAAAAGCCAATGGCATTTATTTTGAGTTCTTTCTAATAAAGGCCCTGTGCAAAATAAATGCTCAGTGGGCCTATATGTTCGTTGAATTTAAAATTTCCCCTTCTACTCAATTTTTATAAATGTTTTATGCATCAGTATGTTGCATTTGGAGACACAAATAAACTCTTAAAAGGAAAATATTTTCTCTTTAGTATGTTAACTTTGTCTACAAATGCAACATATTAATGTGAAAACATTATAAAAAAAATGGAAGGAACTGAAAATCAGGAAAACATTTTTGAAAAAAAATGTTGATGGGGTCTTTGCACCTTCCCTGTCTCAATCTCCAATTTTTTTTATCATCTGTATGAGTACTTTTCCTTTAGATAATGCATTGGCCTAACATACACACCTTACATTTTCAGAAAATTTCTGCAATTCAACATATGACCGTCTAAATTCTGTTGCGAAACCTTTAGTATTCTTTCAAGAAATTTCCTGCTTACATGAAAGTCTTTTACATTCTGTTTTTTTTTAATGTAACATAATGGTTGATACCAATATTGATCAAAGTTGTATATGTTTACACTATGGAACTAATCATTCTTTGAATTGAGTTCGATTCCTGAACAACTGGATATTTGACTAAACATTCCTTGGATTTGATTTGGTTTGATGAAGAGAAATCTTGACTGACAAAAATGCAGCTGATAACTAACAGATTTTCCCAAACAGAAAATATAAAAAAATTTAAAGTGAGCACTTGATTTCAATAGTTTAGTTTCACCTATGCTTTTGAAGCAGGTGATAGCTGATAGGTGTCATGTAAAGGCTTAAAGTACATGGTATAGGAATAATTAACGGTAAGAAGGTACTGTTTCATTCATATTTCGTGGTTTTAAAAACATTTAATCAAATAATTAAGCTGGAAATTTTTTTGAGAAATGATATGATGGTGAAAGAAATAGATACAAAATTATAAAAAAATTATAATTAGCGAAAATTGATATCCGCAAAATTTCAAAATTGCAAAATTGTGAAAGATAACAGCATCAAATATTAGTGGCACTACAGTATTTGCATGTGAAATAATTATGATATATTAATATAATAATATAATAATTGATGAAACAATTGCAATGAACTGTTTTGATTAGCCAAGGCCAGAGCATTGGAATTTGAACTAAAGTTGAGTATAATGTTATTGTATAAATTAAAAAAATAATTATAGAGACTTCTTACAAAGTTGATCTTCATTTCAAATAGCTGAGAATATTTCCCAAAATAGATTGACTAGGCCTTCAGATTTTTTTGAATTTCAGTATTACTATTACTCATACAGTAAAACCTGTCTAATCCAAATGCCACCGTGCAGTTAAAAACATTCAGATTGGGAGGTGTTCGTTATCACAATAGATTATAATTATATCATTGATAATTTAGAGTTTATTCAAAGATGGCAGCAGCATTCTCAGAACCTAACAATCAGAATCTCATTAATCTTTTGTTCACGTTAGTTATTTAAACTTTATATTCATATATAGATGGCAGTTCTTAAATATATGATAGACACCAATAATTCAACATCATAATTTAACCTTTTCCATTAAATATACCCTGTATCAAGCACAGAAACGTATTTACACCCTTTACTAAAATGGCAACCCCTGTATCACGCACTTGTTATATGATAAAAATCACTGACAGTTATAACTCTTCTAATGAATATGCCTCATAATATCAGAGCATGTTTCAGGTGAAACAGAAAAATGCTATGAGTATCAGAATGTGAGAATTGAGCTATTTTGACATTTGAAATTGGTGTTTAACCAAAAAGTAAAGAGTTACATTTATGTTTTTAATTGTATGTAGTTTTACCATTTGACACTTGAAATTGGGGTTTACCAAAATGAAGCGACCAAAGTTAAAGGGTTACGCTTATGTTCTTTAATTGTATGTTTCAGGTATTCCAATGCAATGAAGAACCTAAGCAACAAATACATGCATCTGACCAACTACAGCATCAACAAGAAGAACAATGAATATCAGTCAAATAGCGATGAAGGTGCTTGTCAAGGACATAAATGGTGAGAACCAGTTACTATTCATCGGCCAAACACTTCTGGCATCCTTTATAGCCTAAATAGCCTAATATTTTTCGGTCGGCATCAATAACAAATGGGAGGTGGTTACATTTTGCATGTCAATGCCTTATTTTAATTTGTTATGGCCAAGTTCAGAATATTTACACAATAAGGCAGCTTGATGATGTAATTTCGGATGTTAAAAATGCATCCCTTGATTTCTTAAATTGTTGTCGAAATGATTTTATGTTTTGTGTTATTAGGTTTTTAGAAATACTATGATACTCTGTATATGAGGCATCAAAGGAAATATATTTTTTGTTCACTAAAATAATAAGATTGTTGTTTCATCCAGTCAGAATCTTTATTTATCAATTGTATTGGTAGGAGTCTTCGTTCACTGTGGACATATATGAGAAAGCAGGGCATCAACACTAACGCTGTCTGGGAAAGCATTAAGGACCTTATACTCAAGACTATTATCAGGTATAGCTCCACTGTTTATTAATTTATCGAGGTACTTGCATTTAATCCTCTTTTCTGTAAATATTGAAGTTTGGATTAATGCTCCTATAGTAAATGAATTGAAATATTTTAAATGTAATCATCTTTATTTCAGCACTGAAAGTGCCATCAACACATTGATTAAGTCAAATGTGAAGAAACGTTACAGTATACATGAGTTATTTGGCTTTGATGTGATGTTAGATGAAAATCTCAAGCCATGGATCATAGAAGTCAATATATCACCAAGGTCAGTATTGTTATGTCACCTGTATCTGATCTAGAATCTTTATTTACCATTTCAAATGTCAATATAAAAGTCAGCCTTATTGTTGTCGCTGTTTTTTGTGGTTATTTTGTGGCAATTGAAATCTGTAACAATTGTCACGGTTTTGTAACCAAAGCTAGATTTTGTTTCATATTAGAAAATTATTGATCTTGAACAGCTCTTGCATCCAGGACTCCAAGATAATTCCTGTGTTGCATGTTTGACTTATTAAGATTTGTATTTTGAATAATTATATAAATAGATCTGCTTACACGCAACTTCAAATGCATAATTGATTTTTTGCAAGATTGGTGTTTTCAAATTCATGCCCCTTGTGTTGGATAAGAGAAACATTTTAGGTCATCAATTAAAATTGTAAAAGAGAACCATTTTAGGTCATCAATTAAAATTGTAAAAGAGAGCCATTTTAGGTCATCAATTAAAATTGTCAGATTCAAAATGACCTTCTTTTGTATTTCAGTCTTCATTCAAACTCACAACTTGATATGAGTATTAAAGGGAACATGATAAAAGATCTCTTCAACATCTCTGGCTGGATTCTACCTGACAAAAGTGAGGTTTCTGCTAATCAGTCTTTCACAGATATGAAGTAAGTAGGCAGTTATATGGAACATCTTGTATAATATGATTGTCAACATATTTTGAGTCAATCATGTTTGTAGTATGTTTGTAATGATTTTGATTTAGATGAAATGATGATGTAATGAGGAAAAATCTATTATCTTCTGTTTATAGTTTTCCAAGATCCCTCACCATAACAACTGGACATTGATAATTTGAGTCATTATTTTGTATTCATTTGCAAGTGCATTTTGGTATGCAATTTAACTTCATTTACAATGTTTAAAATAAACAATATCATGGGTTTGATTTTATTTACTCTCTTGAAAGTAAGAATTTCACTTATATTTACAAAATCATTGTGAAAATGTTTGATTTTTTGATTTTCTATTCCAGAAAATCTGAAATGAGGTACATATGTCAAATAACTCTTGAACTTGTTAAATACTAAAAACTATTTCTGTATATCTACAATATATGTTGATTTTTGATTTTTGATTAATGATGTTATATGTTTCTTAAGATGTTCTAAATTGTTCTTATCTCCCATATAATAATGTTGGACATACATTCTCTTCAGTACTTTACTTGTTTTTTAATCAACACTAGAATTCTCAATGTTCATTGTATAATCTTGAATACCAGTTGACTGTATGGTAGAAGTGTTTGATACTGATCAAATCTGTTACTAATAGCCAGTACACAGTCTATGGTTAAGTTAGTACTCGTTTATAATGGTGCAAATGCAGACGATTGCTTAATTGATCATTGGAAATTAACTTATAAATTGATATGTTTTACAAGGAGGGTTCCTACAGCAACCCATGGGCAAAGAAGTGCTACCTATAAGTAAGATATGTGCTCATTGTACTGTACTTTATTCACCATGTTAACGTTTACCTTGTCCACCCTTACATGTATGTGATCCCTATGTCCATGTTGCTCCTATTATTAGACTGTGTATTGGTTTCATTTTATGCACTTTTTAGTTCGATTCAATTTCTGTGATGACCTTACTCATAAGCTATTTTATGGAATCTATGGCTTTTTACGTCACCACCATAAAAGGTGACATAGAGCTATATTTTTTGCGGATGGTGTTTGGCAGTCAGAGTATGCAGTTCAGCGTCTGTAACAAATGACAGGTGGTGATGACATTTTGCATGTTAATGTCTTGTCAATTAATACCACAGTGACACAATTTTTATTTTCATCAATGAAATAGCCTATTTCAAAATTACATGTATTACAAAATTCATTATTTTGAAACTGCATTTTTATTGATTTTTGTTTATTTCTATTATTTGATCGCATGAATTAATCTTTAATTTAAATCAAAAATCACAAGTACATAATCAGATCATTTATCATTTAATAATTCCTTTGCTTTTCTGTTTGCATTGCACTGATCAAACAAAGATATTTGGTTTAACACACTGTACATGGTCAAGTGCAAGTGGTTTCAGTATTTGTAGTCTAATGTATAACTAATGTTGATATATATATTATTATTAAGGTATATTTGATTAATTAGTAAGCAGCATTGGGGAAAATCTTAAATCATAAACACACAAAAGCCCAATCAACATTCTCTTTTTCAGCACTTCCCTTGACAATGGTTTATTTGATACAAACTAAACAGTTATTTGTTATTATTAACTTGTATTTGCAGTCACTACATTCCCTCTAATGAACTCTGCATTGACAAAAGGCTTTGGTCACAGCAACTTTCACCAGATGAAAGGGCAAAACATGCCTACTTTTGCCAGAAATGGCAAGATGAGGTAATAGAAGTTCCTGTGTTAATCACAATCTTATGTTGATAGATATGACTATCCAACTTGCTAGTTTATTATTATTTTTTAATCAATAAATATTTTTCTCTGAAATGAATATTCTGCACAAAAAGGCAACTGAGCAGATCAAGGTAAGAGACACAAACAGATGTTTATTTTTAAATGAGTGTACAGTCTTAATATAAATTTTGATAAATGCTGGCTGTTGAGTTTAAATAAATGGCCCAGTGTTCTAACTTTTATGAATGATTTAGAGAAATGATTATACTCTTCGCTGTTTATTTTCTCTCTTCTCTCATAGTTTCATTTACTCATTACTTAATTCTAAATATTATTGTTGGATGTTTTATTATTGGTGGTTAGCTATGTTAAACGCCAGAACCATCGTGGCCATGATATTTTCTTATGATATGTTTATTTCCAGAATGCCTTACCAGAAATCCTTCGAACACTAACACCCGATGATATCAGGATTCTTGTAGAGACAATAGATGAAGAGAGTCGGAGAGGAAATTTCCATCGTGTTTTCCCATCTGCGTCTTCACAAAAATACATGCGGTTTTTCGACTCTCCTCGCTACTATAACATTCTGAATATGCAATGGTTGGAGAAATATCAGCGCATGGAGGGGCGAGGTGAATATTTTTCTGAATCGCATTTCCTCAAATAAATCATTGGATCTAGCGTCATATTTTTAGTTTCAATATTGAAATATGAACTGTGAATGAGAAAGTGTGTTATTTATGTATTATATGAAGAGAGTGTATCATAAGATGTTTCAGATCTACTGGCTAAAAAGTAAATGTGAACTGTTCTTTCCAAGCACAGCGTTTTGTACAAGTTATAGATCACCCAGCCACATAGCCCTATATTCAAAAGAACATTCATTATTATGTTTATGTGTCTTCAGGTATAGCTCTGCTAGAGTCCTACTGTCAGAAGGGAATCCATATAGAAAACCCAACATCCAACTCTAATCACCAGGTTTGTCTTTTGATCAAGATTTCTCAATTCTGTTGTCAAGCATTTTTCAAGATTCACTATCTTGTCAAGCATTGCCTTAGGACACTTTGCTCATTTAGTATATCAGACCAAATTATTTGCTGAAATTTATGAGTTTATAAGTTTATTGCTCTTTAACTCTGATATCATGATTTCCATGATTACATCTAACACCAATGGATTCATGAACATTTAAAGCTAAGAATCCTACAGAAATTAATCCCAGGCAATTTATTTTTGGTACGAGTTTGAAACAACCTCCACACTGTTTTAAGGAGATTTTGGCCTGGCATTTGATTTGGAACAGCAATAAGAGAGATTGTGTAATTGTGTTAATAGTATTCATATTCCAAAATTATGGTTCTGGCTATTTTTACATATAAGTTTGTATGGCAATGCATTTAAATATTTAATCCAGAAATATCGTCATTAATCACTTGTATTGTAGATGTGCACTTTAGAGTTTACTTTAGAGTGTCATTTATCTGTTTATGTTACATGAAAATATTGCATGTAATTTAATGAAATGAAACAGTGCTATATATATTCTAACACCTTCTTAAAGTTTTTCACATCGTATATGTTGTTTTCTTTTCACAGGTTTAAAAAGACTGGCAATAGAAAATACTTAATCACAATTAGAATTTTTCACAGGCTATTTCATTGACCTCGAGGCTTTAACTCATCTATGATTTTATACCCCTACCACCTTTAGAAGGTATATATTGAGGGGCACACAGAGGCTTGAAGCAAGACTAGTACCATAATAATGTAGCGTGTCTGTGACAGTAAGAGGTTTCAATGAAATAGCCTCATTGTATGCATTGTTTACTTTGCATGTACACTAATATCTTATATTTCCTTACAGTGGCATCCTCCCAGCATATCAATCTATCACAACCAAACACAGAACAGGTACATCCCCATTCCCATCCCTCACCAGCACACTCTATCTCAGGCACTCTAGCTCCCCTATATTGGTCACACGTGATCCCAGGCTTTATTCTAGGTTTACTGTAAAACATTTTTAATTCATGCATGCAATTTTCATGAATTCAGAATTGATAGTCTATTCATTTTGAAATGATTAATTTCTGCCATGTAAAATTCATGGATCAAACCATTTGAGAATTTACGTGAAAATAACATGGAAACAAAATTAGAATGTTTAACAGTATGCTCTAGATATGCTTTCCCCTGGTCCTCAAAAATGCATGCTCACACTATTGCTTTATGCATGGAACAATTATGGTCATTATACAGTATATGTATCTATGAGTATGTGGAATTTATACATTGTATGGTAAATAATTATAGATTTCACACACTCATATTCTTGTAGGTAAAATATACAGTAAGCTTTCTGCTTAATTAGTTAGTAAATAGTTGCTTTTTAGTGACGTCTTCCTCATTCTGTCCTGCTTTCAGTGGTGCCCTCCAATGGCAGCCGCTGTGATTCGTGACACCCGCTCTCTAAGTGCGCCCTCAAATAGACTTCACTTAGATAATAGGGGCAGGTAAACGCTTTGGTTCTAGACCCGAGGCTTCAGTTATACACAATAAGCTACTCTGAAATGAACATGTTGCAAAGTGGATTTTGATTTTTACTTTGAAAGTATTAAAAACTATAATTATTAGTGTATCCTAGCAACCATGATTATGTTTATTAAATGTTTGGTCATACAGTCAGCACCATCTATTCTCTATATTGTACTATTAGACAGATAGAAAGATAGTCTGGAATTTTATGCTATGATCAGTGATATCATATTTTTGAGATTTGCATCGTGCTTCTGGATAAATCAAAAATAGGCAAATAGGCAAAAAGAAATTAGACAAATAGCAAATTAGTCGATTCCTGACTTTCTGTGTATAAACAGTATTGAGGATAGATAATGGTGACTGTAGGGTTCAGTCAATCATAAAAAATTGCTTGATAATAAATGATATGATACATGTTCATATACAATGAAGCAGCTCACTTGTGAATTTGTGCTATGATCTGTTAAACATGAATATTATATTAATAAAAATAATACATTAGTATTACAATAAATATTGTTTAAAAAATTCTACACAAGTTAATTATTATTTCAAAATAAAATTTCAGTTTATTTCTTTACAGTCATGCATCTGCTGCCGTCTTGCCAAAACTGAAGAAGAAAAAGAAGAAAATGCTACACAGTGGAAGTCTTGGCTCAATCAGTACACGTAGTGATGCTTCTGAGCCTAGTTGACGTGCTGCCCGCCTCCCCCCTATGGCTGATAGCGATCACCTACATGATCGTCTGGAATTGAAGTCAAAGCGATTCTCTCACAGTGTGACTCATGCATCTGTTGTTCACATGCCTGCTTTTAAGAGGGCTTTAGCTCCTTTGAAACTGCCAAAGAAGAAAAAATCTGCCAAAAGATTAAGACGTGATAAAAGTCGAGGTAGCGACTCTTCATCTATTACGAGTGGAAGTGATAAATTGAACATGAGTAATGCATCGGATAAGTCATTCCGTAGAATCATGGGTAGATTAAGCAGATATAGTTTGTGATAGTAGTAATCATTTCACGACTTACATGTAAAACTGCACTGGTGTAAATTTGGAATTTAAAGTATATGTACACTGTGCAGTACTTTGTTCTTCCACTAGGTGGTGCTGCTGAATTATTTCTCGATGGAAGTTTCATGGAAACTATGAAAAAATGATGATGTGTTTATAATTCCCATGAAATTCAGAAAGGTGAAACCCCATCGTAAATCTTTTATAAAATACTGCATGTAGTTTGTCACATTATGTCTATAACGTACTGTATAATATTCTTTTGGATCCAACTTAATTATGTATAATCATGCGGATTATTTTACCATTAATTTATACTTTAATTTTTATGCATGATTTTGTATTCACTTTTTGAAGTTGAAACCAGTCTTTCATAAATATTGAGTCATATACCATCTGTAAACTGCTGATTTTCTGAGGACAATGATAATGATTTCTTGATGACCTTTTATGTAACATTGAAATAAGATGTTTCTAGGAATCTTTGAGTGTGAATACTTTCTGAAGATTAAATTTTTTATTGATTTACTTATTGCATTCATTGCTGAAACATAAAACATTCCAACAACACAGCATTATTTTTAAAATTTTTGAATTCAATCAATTGATTATCATATCCAGTTTGTTCATTTCTTAATCTTGAAGATTTATTTCATTCAATGAAAAGTCGATATTGACACATTTTGAGGAGAGAGCTAAAACTCTATTGGATTTTTTTGGTGAACATTAAATTTTTGTTGTTAAAGATTAGCTACAATTTTTAGAGGGGGAAAGGGGTCCAAATGTCTTTTTTAGCAGAAAATGCATATGTTCAACATATAATCATGATGATAATAAGTCTTTACAATCTTTTTCTCGGAATGGTTTTCTCATGCATATTTTCAATGTTATTTTGCATTTTAGGTCACTGTATTATTGCACGCTGTTTTGAGTTTACTGTTTGTAGAATGGGGGTAGGTGGATTGATGACTGAGTAATTGCCACTTTTGTTGACTCAAACAATTTCACTGTTTGCAAAGTGTTTACAGTTTAACAAAATTGGCCGTATATGATAGGCATAGTATATCATGATTTTGCTCAATTAGGATATATACCCTAGCAACAATAGATTAGACTAAGCAAAAAATTACATAGGAACAATAGATGAAATATTCCGTAGCAACAATAGATGAAATTACTCTAGCAACAATAGATGAAATATTCCTAAGCAATAATCATAGCATAAATAGGTTAAATATACCCTAGAAACAAAATATGAATTTTACATGTATCAACCATGGCTTCTGTATATATCTTTCAATAAGTGATTGATGGCTTGAATTCTGTATTTGACTGTTTTTTCAATACAGTATATTGAAAGGATCATCCACAATCAATAAACAGTTTGAAAAATGTACAATTTTGATTAGAAAACTGAAGGGCGCATTAACTAGTTTTTAAAAAGAACTATTAGAATCAAAGATAGGTGGTGCTAAAATGTGTTTCTAGTAGAGAAACCTCTAGTGAAAATACAATTAGCAATATATATGTTATTTTTATTGTGTTTATTTTGTTATTTTAAGAGTTTTATTTTTATCTTGAATAAATGTGTTGTTTATGCATTATGTGACAAAAAAATAATGTTAAATAATATATTATAATTTTGTATGGAAATAAATACTAATCATAGTCTTTTACATAATGTTAGTTGGTTCCATGTTTTATGATCAAAAGAGTTATGTCACCACCATAAGTGGTGACATATTGTTATAGTCTCCAACTTTTTCTGGATAGTGTTTGGTGGTTGGGGTTTGATGCTCAGCAGTTGGTGTTTGGCATTTGGTAGTCAGTGTCTGTAACAAATGGCAGTTGGTGACATTTTGCATTTTATTGCTTTGTTGACTTGCTGAACATGATACACTGATTGATTGTTGTGTGACATTGTCAACCGACTTACTTAAGCAACTGAATGGAATGGACCTTGCTTGTATAATCAAAATTGAAATAACTGACAAAAGAACATGTATGGTATTGCCAGTGATTTTAGAGAGTCGTATATTCTGACCATAATGCAACAGTTTTCATTAAAATTAAAACTACTTCTTCCAAGTGATATCTCTGGGATATTGAAAATACAATATTCAACTCTAAAAACATGTATTAGGACTCATGCTAAAAGGCTTTGTATAAAAAACCTCCTACCTCATACCCACCTTCCCACGTATGTGGGACATGATACAGTCTTTGAAGGGTTCAATTTTAAAGATCTTAGTTTATTAAATCTTAGTTTATGATGAATTATAGATGCATTTGTAAGGACCCCTTGATAGCAAGTTGCTACTACATCCCAGCCGGGTTTGATTCCCACTCGGGGCATCGAATTTAGCACACTTTCTTTCAATTTCTTTATCTGGCTTGTTAGACCTATGCTCGCGGTTGTTAGTTATTTATTCCCCTGGGGCGCCCTCGGGTGATTACACATTAAAATGCATCCATATGCCTTTATGGATCTGTCATCTGTCTAGTCATTAAATAAAGCCGAAATTGTAGAAATGTTAATAATTTGAGCTATTTTGAGATTCAATAATCTTTAAAATTGAACCCTTCAATGACTGTATCATGTTCCACGTAGGTGGGTATGAGGTAGGAGGTTTTTTATACAAAGCCAACCTAAAAATCACCTACCGACTGCAAATTGCAAATATTATGGTTTATGTCTAAAGTTTTCGCAAGAAGGCCCATTATATGGCTACCACATGACACAGAATGTACAGTTAACATTTTACAGAAAAAAGCCATGTCCCTCAGCAGAGAAAAAGTGAGAACAATGTATCCTCTTGGCAACTCGGAAGAAAATTAAGTCATTCATTTTTGTCTCTAGTGAATGTATACTGTTCATGATATTGTATTAATAATTGTTATGTCATCCCAAGTACAAGTAATTTATTATGGATGGGGAATGCAGGTGAAAGTTCATTTTCATTGATATTCAATGACGTAACATTTAAGTAATTCCATTTAAATATCTATTTAAATTATTTTACTTCATAAATCAGTAAATAGGTGGATGTTAACAACATTTATTAACTTTTTTAAAAAAGAAACATTAGTTCTTTGAATCACTCACTACAAGAATACAAATAGTCACTCTATTTTTGATGCCAGATAATTATTAGATCTTCATGATCTTAAATGCATGAAATGTACTTTCATGGGAGTACACGTTTCAAAGGAGCATGTAGGTCATCGCAAACAATTTCAGAAGGTTATATCTTGGATTATGATTATTTTCTGACAATGAAGACAGGTTTATCTTTTAGATCGATTCATTATCTCAAAGAAAATTATCAACACACTTTTCAAAGATGTTGACCCCATTTTCACCAAAAATGCAATCATTTTTTACAATGTTTTATGCATTACTATTCTTTATTTTGATGTATCAAATAGTTCTTGGAAGAAAAACTTTATTGCTTTAAGATAAGTGTTCCCAGTGTTATTTCTCCATTGAAAAATATCATGCTATCCATTGGTTTCAGTTCATTTTGGTCATCCAAATTCAGTATCTTTGAAGTCCCTGGAGCAATCAACTTTTCCTTATAGGAAATCGAGCATGTCTCAAACGTCAAAGCACATTTTAATTATGCATTCAACAATATAATAAAAGGTTGCATATTTGGTGAAAATTAGGTCAACATTTTTGAAAACGTATGTTGATTGGTCCATTGCCTCTTCAATATCACTTAGGTCTGATTAACTAAATTATTATTATATATGGTTTTCTCGATCTAAAAGATACACCCATGTTCATGAACAGAAAATATTCACATTTCAAGTTAGAATTGTTTGAAATTTGTTTGTGATAACCTATGTGCTCCTTTGAAATGCAAAAGGTGCTGACCTGATTATCTGATTACACATTTGATTAAGGAATAAATAATGATAGGCCATTCAATATGGTGAAATTCAGCACTCGTTGGACAGAATGTTAGTACAAATGCACTCACCTTCGGTTCGTGCTTTGTACAACATTCTGTCCAACGAGTGCTGAATTTCACCATATTGAATGGCCTATCATTACTATCATCACCGAAGGTGAGTGCATTTGTACTAACATTCTGTCCAACGAGTGCTGAATTTCACCATATTGAATGGCCTATCATTATTTATTCCGATTCAAACAAAAAAATTAGTAAAAGCCGTGTCTGTGGAACGGGCATGAAGGAACAGCTATCCCCGGACAGAGCCCCAGATGTGCAGCTGAGATGTGACGTCACTCAAAACAATGCAAATTGCAGAAGAGCATGGTCATGCATCTATGGAGAATTAGAGAACGTTCTATATTGGCTATGCTGCATTCTGATTGGTTGAGAAATTCGAATAGAGCACGGTCATGTTTGAATTGGATATAGACGAGGTCAAATTTGGCTAATTCTAAATTTAAAATTTTAATTTTTAAAAATACTCAAGCAACTTTCAACTAAATTGTACAAAAAATATTAAGTAAGTTTTCATATTATTTATTTGCAACATAGATGTAATATAATTATATACAATATATACAATGTACTTTTATTCAAAACAATGGAGCATTGCACCTCTCCTTTTGAACAATGACTGGCTCACTTGAGTAAAAATAGAATGAAGCCATGTAAGATAAGGTTAAAATACCATTCATTAATGATGTTTTTATAGCTGGAACAGATCAAGAAGTTTGTATAAAAACAGCATTTTTCCCTCAAGTTATTTTGAATATTTTTATATAGACAATATGTCTATTTTGCTTTTTGGTGAAAGTTATTTATAAGGACTTTAAACATTTTGACTTGTTTAAAGAAAAGTCCTGACAGATATTATTGAATTAAAAAATATGGAATTATGCAATGTAGATTGTTTTGTGTTTCTCAACTGTTTCAATGTCCCTTTCTAACTGCTTCATCTCTGCTTCCATTCTTTCTTTACGATTTTTCTTTGGTGCAGTGTCAGTCACAACTGAAAGTCCTTGATATTCATGATGCAGTTGTTCCCAATTTTGTTTCAGGCCTGCCAAAATGACACGTCTTTCTTCCTCAGATAGTTGCTGCATTGCTCCTCGTCTGAAGTGCTCAGCGATATAAGCGTCATACTCTTCTTGTGCTCGTTGAATCTCTTCTTCACGTTTTATAAGATAGGCTGGTGTCTTACCAAAGTCCTGAAGGCAAATAGTTAAATAATTGTAAATTACATATATCTCAAAAAAGCATAAAACATTGAATATACATCATGGTGTAAGATCACAGAGTGTGTCCTAATGAGTCCCTCCTACATCTTCAGTCAAAATGGAAAGAGATGGTACAAAATGTGATTTATCATATTTGAAGAAAGATTGTTGGATGTGGAAGTTGTAATGTTTTTTTAAATAACATCTTTAAGCCTATATCCCCGCTATTAACATATACTAATGAATGAATGGTACACTTACCTTTTTATGCAGGTAATGAGGTTCCATGCCTGATGTTTCTAAAGGGTGTTTGTCTCCTTTCTTTGTATCAACATAATTCTTTTCTGCCTTTTTTGGAACTGACATGATGTTTTCTACTGCATTGTTTGTAATGAAATTTTTTGTTGTTCTAAGTCCCATCAGAGGTTGGTCATCTTTGCGGGGAACATTGGGTCTTTTACGTTCTTCATCAGGATATGAGAATTTGGTTCCTATAAAATCATTCATATTAATTTACAAAAATAATATTTAGAAAATAGCTTCAATACATAAGGAATTTTTATTGAGAATTATGTTGTTCATTTTTCAAATGCTGACTTACTCAAAAGTGGAAATAATATGAATGTTCATGTCACTAAGGCAATGGTTAAAGTGACACACCACATAAATGTTTCTGATTTTCTATCTAATGATAACTCGAAGGCAATAGGAAGAAAGAGTGTTTGTTTATACTTACGATCAGGTAGTACTGGCTCTTTCTCATGCTTCTTTAAGAAATTATCTTGTCTTCTTGTTGGAACTTTAGCTTGACCCATAGTTTTATAGTCATTTCTATTAGATTTGTACTCTCCAGTTACTGTTCCTCTAAATTTGGAAGTGTGTCTGAAAAATAGCAATCCCACGTAATTAATTATAACCTGTTCAGGCAGATTTTGTTATAGGCCTTTAGGCTTAAAGTTGTTCAAATTCTAGGAGTCTGTTGAATTTGACCAATTGAATAATTTCAATTTCATCTCGTAGCTACTTAGACAACACATTTATTTTAACTCTAGCCGTCATAGATCTAGTAGGCCTATAGGCTATATCATAGAACTGAGAATAAATAACATGTCACTACATGATATGAATTCAAGAGTTGTCTAGGTAGACGCTACATTTTTGGCATCATTAGCATTATCAAAAATTGACAAATCCCCGATTCACATCTTAATCATAATCACCATGTAGCCTACATCACAGATTCAGAAAATGGAACTAGATTCTAACTTGGCTTAGAACCTGTTCTGGAAAGATGAGAATTAAAAAAACATACAAAATATGAACTTACTTCACTTTTTCCTCTGATGCTGGAGCAGGTTTTTCACACAGGTTATAGATTGATTCCATCCTGAATATATCACGAACTATATGCTAAATTATTGGATTGTTAAGTTTATCTTATGCAGCGGTTTTACTGATTATAATGATATGTCTAAATTTTCAAGTAAACACCCTGGTCGCTCCTAACAACGCACATGCGTACCAACTTTTGAACACAGATTTCCGGTTCCGGGTCAATAGCAACATGGGTGATTTCATTGAGGTAGGAAAACGTTGAAGTGTTCTTATTTCGTTGCTACAAACCTTTACTACTTTACATTGTAGAGTATTTTAAGACCAAATATTTGAACAACACTGCCATGTACCAATATCCCTGTGATATTAATGATTATACTGTAAAAATTCTACTGTAAAATCCTCACCACTTTAGGCCCTACATTTGCATTGTAATTTCTATTACACTCATCTTATTAAGAGTTCATATCGCATAATAACCCTTATTATCGGATTCCAGCTGTTAGTAGTATTAATTTGAATAAATTAAAACTGAGTAGTGCAGCTGAGTGGACATGTATATGCACCGATAACTAGGTCTATTTTTGCTTAGCTGCCAACGGAAACACACCTTTGTAAGAGACTAGGCTAGTTGTACATAGCTGTAAATAGCACATGGATTTTAGTTCAGATGATCTGCTCGACTTGTTGAATTTTTTCAACAGTCATTGTTTGCAGTTTTTGGAACTTTTATTTACTAGTCTTACTACAATTGTTTGGACTTATGAACCCAGTACGGCCCCTAGTGCTCCTGAAATAATGTACTTGGACAGGTAGGGAAATATGTTTTTTCAAGATGGAATTTTGAATAATGAAGGTCTAAATGACCATGGTCTATAATGACCACAGTCCAGGTCTAAATGACCACATGTTAGGTCTAAATGACCACATTTTTAGGTCTAAATGACCACAGTTTAGGTCTAAATGACCACAGTTTAGGTCTGAATGACGACATGTTATTTCTAAATGACCACATTTTAGGTCTACATGTAAATTACCACAGTTTATGTCTGAATGCACACACCAAAGGTCCAAATGACCAAAGTTCAAGGCCTATAAACCAAAGTTTGACCAAGGTTCAAAATGAGCCGCCATCAGAATAATAGTCATATTAGAGGTCAATGGTCATATTACAGTTTCAGCGAGCATATCCATTTGCATAGCCTCATAGTAGGTTCAAATTAATAGAATCATTTTTGTTTGATTCAAGTTCTAGTAATCTAGTGCTTATAGATTCATGTTCTGTTTATCAGCGGTCTATATGGTCAATATGTTTGACTCAGTTTTCGAGGAGAACAAGTCTGAATTGAAGATAACAGACAATCATGTAAAATCTGTCCATAAATATTGGTCAAAAACATTATCCTAGTAGATATCAAAATATGAAGAAAAGGCTAGAGTAAGCTATCTAGAAAGTAAATGAACTTAAAATGTTCCTAGTCCCAAAGCAGGAAGAAATCTACAATTGCAAAATGGGAAAATGGCATATGCAATACTGGTAATGTGTGTCACATGGACTCTCTGAAAAAAAGCTCTTTATCCATAGAAATCGGGTTAACAGCCCTAGATCAAATGACAATACTCGTACAATATTTTGATTAAAACAGCTATTGTTGCTGAACAAGGATTTCCCATAACCAACTACTGTAGTTGAAACCAACTTCATGCTTCAAATTTTCAATTTGACAAGAGTGGATTGGAGAATTTTCTGTCTTCATACCATTACCAAAACCAAAAAGAGAATACCCCAAGCTGGGCAAAAGAATTGTTTGGTGATGACTCAACAAAAACGTTGAATTTTGTCAAAGACATGAAAACATAGTTTTCTAGATCAAAATCTTTTAATAGATTATAAATACAAGTATTTGGCAGCCTTTTGAATAGGCCAATGAAAGCAGAAGCTAGCTGTCAGCTGACAATAGCTACATGTACACAGCTAGAAGTCGTGACAAACAATGTTATTGTACATGACGTCGCTCCAGCACAACTTACGCTGTAGGAAAATCCTTGTCCAATGACAGGTACGTCAATTTTATTTTAAAAACTAAACCAAAATGGATCTAAAAAGATGAATGTTTGACATAACATCAGATCTAGAAAAAACAATCTGGAAGTTCACTAAAACAGAAACTTCGGTAAATTACATATACTTTTTGAAGTTCCAAAGTCACCTACATAGAAATATGAAGTATGGTCAAGGTTACCAGAGATTTTGAGAATTGATAACAATATAGCTTAAGATTTCTAAATGGAAAGCAGCTTTAATATTTCTCAAAACTGTGATTTAAAGCAATCGGATGTCTTGTCCATCCTTTAAAAACAGGAGATTCATTTAACTTAAACATGCAACAGAAAAGCAAAGTCAAGCATAGATCATTTTCTGTGTCACATATTGTTACAGGAGAAAGAGGATTGTTCCCAGAGTCTCGTTCTCAATCTAAACTCTAAATTTTAAATCTAAACCTTAACCATTTAGTTGGTATGAAAATTTCAAAATGGAAGACTTGGTAACTCTAAGAAACATGATATGGCCAAACGATTACCGATGGTGAAAGTCCATGCTAAGGATGCTTATATGAACATAAGCATGCATACATTCGAGGCACAGGAAATATCTCTGTTGAATGATATAACAGCATTTGAGATCATTACTATGGACCTTGCTTCCCTCAAACTCGTGAAAATACCATAAGCGCTATTGTGGAATATTTTATTTGGTTTTGAATCTTTATTGATTCTCTGATGTCATTAACCTCACGCCTATCTGCTACTCATGAACATGATTTCAAGTTAGTGAAATATTTGTTTCAAACTGAAGTTTCTGATAAATGGGGAAAAGACTATTGTTGAATTTTTCCCATCATAAAATGGAGCTTTGTAGTTTTGTGATCAATACAATTGAGATAAACTTGAAGGCCTTAATAGAAATGATAGTTTCTATCCAAATTCTCGCAAAGACTTTGTTGAGATAGAATCAACCCTAGTCAGTAATCTTACTCAAGTTATTGAGATACTTTTGAATTGTACTTTAGTCTGTAATCTGCATATTGTACCTCTACATTTATTGTCACTTGCAAAGGTCAAAGCAGTCCTACATGTATGCATTGATTGCCAAAATAACTCACAAAAAATGAATATAAAATTTGATAGTGATTGGTCCAAGAAGTTGAAATTCAGAATACTAATAGTATTATCCGAATCAATAATTACAATAACAACAAAAAGCAGCCTGTTTGGCTAAAGTTCAAGTCTGATGGGACAGTAGCTTAGGGGAATTAGATTAAACAAAAAATTGTTTCATATGAATGAAAGCCATGGATATGGTAGTGAAAGTATTCACAAAAACTTAGACAATGTTATATAAAATTAACAAGAAAACCACAATGACATTATGTGAACAAAATGTGGGGAACAAGATGGCTAGAAATGTTAAAAGCAATGCAAGATCGTTCAGATACCTTTGCCAGAGATATCATTATTACCGTATAATATTTTCCAAGGAATCAGAATTGAATGTCAGATCAAACCTAGAGAAATTTCTCGTTGCATCAAACTAGAAATAAGATTGGGAGATTTTTCCAAATTGAAAGTTTTAAGGTCCAAATAAAAAGATTTTGTCGACCAGTAGAAAATTAATATTTCAGGTGGAAACTAAACCCAGAAACTCTGGAAGTTGACATATTTATTCAGAATAAACAGTCAAATAACTTTCCTCCAATTTCTTAAACATCTGTTAAATCAGCCGATTACTGGTTAAAGTAAGACAGAGAAAATGCACAGATAGCTCTCATAGCCCCAATGTGGCAAATGGCTCTGCGGTATCTATAATTGTTGGAAATGTTGGTCTGAATGCCCATCTTATTGCCAAACCATATGAAATTACTAATATCTAATCTTACAGCTTTAATAAAAAAAAAACTAGATAACACTAACGGTGTCCAAATGATTATCCTCAAGTTTGAAACTAGAGGTTTCTGCGACAAACTAGCAATACATGTATGTTCATTAAATCAAGTAAAGAAAGTACTTAAATTATGCTGCAAGTTCTAATAAACATGACATTAATATTTAGCCTCTGATACAAATTTAGCCAATTTCCTAACTGAAATGTCAAATCAGGTATGTGCTATTCGTTTCTCGATACTTAAAGTCTGCAAAATCAGCATATAATCAAACCATAGATAGTCATAGATTTTATGGAAACTTTTACAATGGAAACCCACTAAATAAAATAAATGAAACTTGGGATGTGAATAAGGTTGTACTGTATCTCACATTGAACATTCGGGTCAGAATAGAAATCTCAACTGAAAGTACACAATTAGTCATGTTAATGTTTATTTCAAGCATGTATCCCAGGGTCTCTGAAATAATATGCCATTGGATGGTTGTCAAAGACAGAATGTCAACTCATAAAATTGGGGTTCCAAGTTTCTTTCATGAGAATCCAGTTAATGATGTTGTACTAGCATTTAGAAAATACCAGAAACATCTGAAACAAACTACTAGTAGTAGAAGGGAATCATAAGAAGGAAGTTTAAATTATCCTTGTCAAATGTCATGCGATGCCATGCGTGTACATATCCAGTAAAACATCTCATATACATACACACTAGCAGTTTCTATAACAATACATAAAGGTTTTAATTTTATAGAATAAAATAAATAGATATTTAATAAATACATTTAAGTACATTGGAAAGACATATTTAACCAGGTATGCAGTAACAGTACCATAAACTTGAACATTTGATATATCTACAAACCAAGTCATGGGAAATGCAAATTAATTGAATGCTTAACAATTTTACAAACTGAAAAACTGATAAAGGAAATCGAAAGGATTTAGATCAGTTGTTCTGAGGTTATTTTACTTTAAACATGCGATATGAACTCTTAATAAGATGAGTGTAATAGAAATTTTACAATTTCTTAAGAATCTCGCTAATGAAATTATAATTTTATTAACGAGATCTTATTAAGAGTTCATATATTCCCTCCTCGCCCACCCAGTCGTTAATTGTCACTAAAACACAGGTTTGTGTTATTTCAGAACATAACCACAGACAACTGAGTTATGAAGGATAGAATTAACATTCAACAATCTTCATCAAGTCAAATAATGTATTTGCATTTTTACACTCTCAAAGTTGTAATGAAAGATTTTAAAGTTTAAATCTCACAAACAGTAATAGGTTTATATCC